GTGGGGGGGGGGGTGGGGATCAGTAAGATTCTCTCTCTCTCTCTCTCTCTGTTTTAAATAGTGGTGAAATGAAACAAAACAAAAAATGGAAAGTTAAAATTTACCATTTTAATTATTTGTAAGTGTGCAGTCAGTAGTATTAGGTGCATTCACATGTGGTACAATCACCATCACCATCTATCTCCTGAACTTCTTCATTATTACAAACTGAAACACTTGGATGTATTTTGAAGGCAGAGTCAGCACACTTTCCTGACAGACTGAATTGGGTGTCAGAGGAGTCGAAGGTGACACTGAGATTGTTGGCTGAGCACCTGGAAACATGGACCAGGTATTGACAAGACAGAGAAGGATGGGTAGAGCACATTTAGAGAAGGAGTTCAGATATTTTTTCATGTTAATTTGAAGTGTCTACTAGACATCCCAGTGGGAAATTTGATATTGCATTTGGGAATGTAAGTCTGGAGTTCTTTAGAACTGGGTTAGAGGTGTATATTTAGGTGTCTGCAGCAGATAGAGTATTTAAAAATTTTTTTTGATTTTATTTATTGGGTGTAACATTGGTTAATAAGTTTATATAGGTTTCAAGTGTACAACGGTATCTACCTGATAGATGGTTTTTAAGCCACCACAAGGAACGAGACAATCAAAGAAGTAGATAGGACAGAGAGAAGAGAAGAGATCGAAGGCTTTAGGGCAGTACAGCATTACACCCAGTCTAAGAGGTTAGGAAGGACATGAAGAAATCAGCAAAAGGATACTGAGAACAAGGAAAACCAAGGGGATGTGGTGTGGATGCTGTTGAGAGGTCAAGTAAGCTTAAGACTTAGACTCAACCATTGGATGTAGAAGTGTGATGGTCACTGGTGACCGCAACAAGAGTAGTTTTGGGGAAGGGGTAGGAACAAAAACTTGAATAAGTTAAGAGAAAATGGGAGGGGAAGAATTGGAGGCAGCAAGTAAAGGCTACTCGGTTCTAGAATTTACTATAAATGGGGAACAAAGATGAAGGAGGGAATACGATCAAGAGCAGTTTGCTTTGTTTTTAATGGGTGAAGTGACAACATATTTGTATGCTGATGGGAAAGATCCAGTAGAGAGGGAAAAATAGTGATGCAGGAGAAGGAGGGAGTATTTAAAGAGTTTGAATTTGAAAACTTCCACATGGGGCTTTGGCACAGCCTTTTGCCACAGTCTACACCATACTTTGACCTGCTTCACTCATTTGTATCACCTATATTTTACGTTGCATCTCCTGGCCTGGATAGGTAACAGATCTCGATGAGGCTTCAAATAACATCAGAATAAATTGGTGTGAATGTACATTGAAACCACTCCTGCCAGAATAGACAGAGACCTCAAGTGCTAATGTACCCTCTTTCTAAGGAGTGTTTTCTGCAATTTGCTCATGTGGACATTACCAGGTGAAAATTGACAGTCAGAAGCAGTTGAAATCCAAATACCAATACTAAATAATGCCATGCAGATTTGGGGAACTTGGTAATTTATTTTATTTTAGTCTCCAGAAATAAACCTTGGGATGGTCCTAGGGAAATGAGTAGTTTCTGGGTATAGGTAAAGGAGGAGAGAAAGTAATGAAACCAGGGGTGAGTAGTGAAACAGCAGGGGGAGCAAAGATGAGTCTTCTCCTGGGCTTGCACTAGGACTCTGTTGTTTAGAAATAAGACATTCACTACTGGACCACCAATGTGTCCTTAGCCCAAAGACTGAGTAATGGTTATGTCCAAATCAAAGGCAAGTAACCAATACATGAATCTAGGTCTAGAAGGTTAACTTCTGTGAAAGGAAAGGGAACTAATATATATTAATTAATTTGCTGAATAGCTTTATCCTTATCCCTCTATTCTACCATGGAAAGATGACCTATGGGGATTAAATGTGATAGCCAGTCTCCATGATGGCTTAGTGACCCCAACATGTTGATAATCATTCTTCTCCACCCTACACTCTATCCTGGAAAAGTGATCTGTTGGGGTTGGTTCAACATGCTTCTAAGCCTTTGGCTGCTGGTTGGATTACACTCAGGGGGAGCCCTGGAAGGAAGTTGTGGTAAGGTTGTCTCAAGTTGGCTTCAACAGCAGATTATTGCTCCTATCAAAGGGGTCCCTGCTCCACTCAACATTCTCTTCCTTTTGTGGCCCTTGTGGACCTAGGGATGATGACAGTTCCACTATTGCTGGACCCCGGTTTCTGCACATCCTCTGTGGTCTCCATACCCCCATCCATACTTTTGTGATTAGCCCCTTTATAAATAAAACAAAAAAATTAATATGAGTATATCATGTTTCATATTGGAACACTGACTGATTCATTAATTGGTATCAGAAGTGGATCTAGGAAACAGTCACAACTGGATTTGGAATTTATTTGGTCATATATTTAGAGGTCCAGGAATAGCCTTATTGCTGGGAGAAATAACTCAGTTATGAACTTGAATTACCATTTGGGGATAGCCTGGGATGAAAGGCAAAATGTTGGCTATATAGAGTTTCTGAAAGTCCCAACAGGAGAACCACAGGACAAACCCTGGAGTAAAGTCCTGACCCTATGCCAGTCACTATTTTCAATTTGAAGAGTAGCCCCTGGCTTGCTACTGGTGAAGACTGAATGCTTGGCCATGGTTGAGTTATCTGATTCACTGAACCATAAGTTTGGGCATTAACTGCAGCAATCCATCAGAATATGAAAGTGGTAAATGTAAAAGTAGGCTCCAGTAGATCCAGAAGGCTCAAGAAAGCTTCTTGAGCAGGTGACTTAGATTCACATGGTACCTATTTTTCTGCTTCTCCTTTAACATACACTAGAGGAATTCCCCATCAGACCTGATTTATAGGTAAATCTGCATCGGAGTCCACACAAATGGCAAGAAAACAGCCATGGTACTACATACAGGTCCATGTAGAGGTAGCCTGAAAGATAGCGCTCAAATAAAATCCCCCCAGAACTTTAAATACATCAGTTTGTTCACTTCATTAGGGCAAGATAGTCTCAGGCAATGTAGATTGACTCATGGGCAAAGGCAAAAAGTTGACCTCCTGGTTGGCAACATTGAAAGAACAAGATTGGAAGATTGGTGCCAAGGAGATCTGGGGAGAGGAATACATTTGAAACTCTTGCAATGGGGACAGAATGGAAAGATATCTACAAGATGATCTACTCTGTACAGCCAGTCTTTTCTTAGTTTCACTGGTGACTGGTCAATGGTAGTCTGAATATTCTTACAGTGCGTCCCATAATCTAGAAGCAGCTAGCTTGATAGGACAGAGGAAAGATCTGCTAAAGGCTCAATTACTATAACATTTAGGAGACAACGACTTGCAAAGTTCGAATGGTGTCCTATATAAAAATGTTTTAAACCCGCAGCAAATATGTAGTCAGGATGCATGAGTGTGGGAATGAAAAAGTAAAGATTGGAGTGGCCCCTGTCACCATTCAGCCTAAAAACCCATTCGAATGTGTTCTTCCCTCTGACCTTGGTTTTGGTGAGTTTGGAGATTTCAGTGCCCAAGAAAAGAATTATTTTCTTTTTGGAGATTAAGACTGCCCTCTGGCCATTTTGGGATTCCTTATATCGTTGAATTGATAGGCACAGAGGGAATCAGTGTAGCTGGAGTGAACATCCTGATTACCAGGAAGAAACTGGGTTGGTGCTTCACAAAGAAGACAGAGGACTTTGATGCTGAGGGGTGGACTGTACGTGGTGTCTTCTGCTTGTGCTCCTCTTCCATGTTTCAAGACTTTGGAGATAATATCAAATTTAATCTTCTCGACAACTTGATAATAATCATAGGTCTTCTCGATTACCCTCTTACTTTATACATGACATTGTTCTACGTACTTTACATGAATTGATTCAATTCATCCTCACAGTAGTTTTATATGCTAAATATTCTATAATTCTTATTTCCCAGATAAGAAAAGTTAAGCACAGAACAGTTAAGTTACTTGCCCCAAACCACAAAGTTAGAGGTTAACCTCTTCCCTATAAGGCTTCTCAAAGGGGTAGGGATGATTATTTTGTTTTTACACATAGGAAAACAAAGGGTTAGAGAAGTAAAGGAATTTATCCCACATATAGTCAACCGCATACCTAGGATTCAAATCCAGATCTGTCTACCCTCAGAACTAATGCTCATGTCTAATGCACTCTGCCTCCTTCATAATACTTCATTTTCAGGTGTGAATAGAAGAAAAACTGACTGTGAAATGCAAGTTCTATAAACATTGGCTTAGTGACCCCAACATGTTGATAATCATTCTTCTCCAACCTGCACTCTGTCCTGGAAACGTGATCTGGAGGGGCTGGTTCAACATGCTTCCAAGCCTTACTACCATGCGATCAAACATCCTTTTGATAAATTCAGAATTTATTTATGGTTTTAAAAAAAGGCAAATGATCTAACTTAGCAATTTTCAACCTTTTTCATCTCGTGGCACACACTAATTACTAAAATTCTGCGGAAAAATTAAAAAATACATTTTTTGCCAATCTGACAAAAACAAAAAATAGGTATGATTTTGACTCATTCACACCAGATTGATATTGTGCTGGTGATTGTCATTTATTTATTCGACAATCTAAGGGAGAGAAGGCCAGTGCCCCTGACTAAATAGTCAGGCATTGCATGTTTTAAAAATTCTTGAGGTGCTCCAGTGTGTCGTAGCAGACCGATTGAAAATTGCTGATCTAACTTAAATAAAATAAAGATTAATCTTGACAATGAAAGTGTAAGCATGTCCCAGATTTGCTAGCTAGCTCTTTCTTTAATTGTTTAGCTTGTACCTGGACTCAATCCATAAATAATTGGAAGCCAAAAAATTATATATAAAATACAACATATTATATTAAATATAAACATATATTTCTGTTATTTTATATAATTATATAAAATATATGTTAAAATATTTTTTAAGGAAGTGTGATGATGTGATTAAAAATCACTGCTAACAGATTTTCTAGGAGAACGTTGTTTTGGAATTCTCGTCTTCTGTACACTCGTTAGCTGACATTAGCCCTGACCAGAGTAAGGTAGAACACGGTGGTCATCAGACGGAGGAAATGCATAAACCAGACCTGGAGAGAAGAGCCTGAGAAGGGAAACCACATCGGTCAGGGTGCCAGTAACTTACTTTTGCTTTGGTGGCAGGTTTTTGTCTTCCGCTAGTAAAGGAGGGCACAGTCAAGGCCTTGCATATGCTTCGTAATAATTCTTGTCACCGCTGCTCTGGGGGATTTCCTGCTTTGGAATAGCACCGCCAGCCTCCTCTATCTGATATCATGGACCCATGGCTTTCTAACAGCTGAGGATGCTCTGCTTTTCAGATAATACCATCCAGTCGATTTTCTGTTGCTGCTGTTGCTGCTCCGTGCAGAAGCGGTAAGTCTCATTTCTGAGGCCTTCTTTGAAATGAATTCATTCTGTTTCTTTATTGTCTACTGAGTCTCCAGGTTTCTTTGTTTCTGTTGGTGCCTTTGCCTGGGAAACCCTTTTCCCATTTTTTCCCCTGTTGAGTGTCTATTCATTTAAAACCATAGGTCATCCCTGGCTGGTTTGGCTCAGAGGTTAGAGCATCAGCCTGTGGACCAAAGGATCGCGGGTTTGATTCTTGGTCAAGGGCAGGTACCTGGGTTGCAGGTTGGATCCCCAGTCCTGGTTGGGGTCAGGGGTCCTGTGGAGGGGTTCCAGTCAATGCGTCTCTCTCACATCGATGTTTCTCTTTCCCTCCCCTCCCTTCCACTCTATCTAAAAAATCAATGGAAAAATATCCTCGGGTGAGGATTAACAAAAACATAAAGAAATAATACAGAAAAATAAATAAATAAAAATGAAAAATAAAACCATAGGTCAAATGTTAGGCCTTCTGTGATCCTTTCTTAATCCTTTTGGACTTAGTTGTTTCTTTGATTGTGTTCCCAAAGCACGCAACTTGGTTCTTTATTTAATACACATTTCACGTATCCTATTTATTTGTCTGCATTTCACTCTATAATTTTTACCCTTTATGGGCAGGAATTCTGTCTTATTCATTTGAATATCTCCTCAAAACTATCACGTCTTGTACTTTGGTGTCCAGTAAATGATTGTATGAGAATAAAATCCAAGGCACCATGAAAATAATCACAGCTAACATTTAATGGGAATGCCCATATGTGAGATTATGCTAAGAAGTTTGCATTTATTAGCTCAAGTAACTCTCAAAGCCACCTATTGATTTTTACAATCCGCATTTTACAGATGAGGAAACGGAAGCTTAGAGAGGTTACATTGCTTACCAAGGCCTCACTATGAAATGGTAGAGCTGGGATTCAAAAGCATGTTCTTATAACAATAGATACCATCAAATGAGGTAATACATGTAAAGTGATGAACACTATGCCTGATACAGAGTAGGTTTCTCATTATCATCTTTATAATTGTATGCCCTTAATGTGCATCAGACTCTGTTCTGGGCATGTGACATATGTTTCCTCAGTTTTATTTCATAACTACTTCATGTGCTCTTAGCACCTCCAGTTTCCAGAAAGAAAAATAACTTCTGAGAGGTAGTAACTTGCTCAAGGAAATGGAGTTAGTCTTCTTAATTACAAAAGCCTTTGGAAAGAGACCTGGATTGTTTGACTAGTTTTGTGACAATCCAGTGGCTTTGTAGATATCTTGAATAAAAATAATCACTTGTAACATGATTCTTCTTCTTCTTCTTCTTCTTCTTCTTCTGATTATTAGTTTAATCCTCACTCAAGGATATTTTTCCATTTATATTCAGATAAAGTGGGAGGAAAGGAGGAACAGAGAGAGAGAGAGAGAGAGAGAGAGAGAGAGAGATCAATGTGAGAGAGACACATTGATTGATTGCTTCCTGCACGATCCCAACCAGGGCCAGGGACCGAACCGCAACTGAGATACATGCCCTTGACCAGAATCGAACCCTCAACTCATTGGTCCGTGGCTGACACTCTAACCACTGAGCCAAACCAGCTAGGCTATAATATGATTATGTTTTTAATGTTAGGCAAGTGAGAACACAAATAAGCCTGAGCAAAGATGAAGAACTTGCAGAAAAATACACCCAGCATCGCAGGCGGTGGTTCAGTGAATTGCAAAGTAAGAAGCAAGTGAGTATCATTTTGGTGGGGGGATGATGGTGTGGGGGAGAGGAAACTTGCATTTTTAGGGTCTGCTCCATGAAGTACCGTTTGCTACCATGCCTGAAACCTAGTATTATGCTTGCCACATAATAAATGCTCAATAAACATTTAGTGAATGATTTTCTAGAAGAAAACGAAAAAAAAAAACTGGTTAACATAGCCTGCTCTATTTTGGAAGAACTTGAAACTGGATGGTGAATGGGGGGAAAATGTATCTGGCTACTGCCATTTTGAGGCCAGGATTAATTTTCAGTTTAGTGTTGGGAGAAACAGTGTTCTTCAGAAGCATGGTAAACCCAAACACAAGCTTACAGCACGTAAAAGAAAAGGGCTGCTTTTCTTCTTCCAAGAGAGAAAAATTCTTAAGACAAAGTGCATCTATTGGGGAAGAAATCAAGTTTTAAGAATTGTGACCTGAAAAAAAAAAAATCCAATGCAATGCTGGCAAGAAAATGCGTGACCTTGAAAATTTACCAAACGATGAGTGTGCTGCTGGATCCGAAAGTTGTTTTGTAGTCGGTCTTTTCCTATGTTTACTCCCCTGGCTCCTGCTGTGGTGCAGCTGGACGGTAGAAGGGGCGCAGCAGCAGGCAAGTATCTCTCCGCCTCCTCTTTGTTAGTACAGGTGGCTAAAACAGTAGTGCAACCACTCATTCCTTGGTTTTCACAGTCCAACAGGAGCCGTGTGCAACCATCAAAACGCAAGCCGCTGCCTCCCCTCCCGTCCCCTGCGGTGGCTGACCAGAAGATCCGAGTCATGGCACTATATGACTTTCTGCCCAGGGAGTCCTGTGATCTAGCATTAAAGAGAGCAGAGGAATACTTGATACTGGAGAAGTATAATGCTCACTGGTGGAAGGCAAGGGACCGTTGGGGGTAAGATTGGTGGCTTGGTCCTTATCAAATTCCTCCCCTTCTATCCCCTAAAGACTTCTGAAACATAACGAAGACCGTTCACCGGCTCAGTTTCTAAAGGTTTATAACTTCCTTCTGTGTGAAATTAACCCTGTCCCCCACACCGCCCCGTCTGTCTGAGAGCATTATAGCAGGATTTCAGGCAGACTCTCAGAAGCAGATACCCCTGGCTCCACATCCCAATGCTGTCACTGACGGTTTTGTCCTTTGGGCAAGTGACTTTCCCGCTGTGAGTTTTCATTAATTTTTATTTTTAAAATTGAGCTATCATTGGCATATAACATTATATTAATTCCAGGTGTATAGCATAATGATTCAATATTTGTATATATTGTAAAATGATCACCAGAATACATCTAGTTAACATCTGTCACCATACATAGTTACAGAATATTTTTCTGGTGATGAGAACTTTTAAGATTTAATCTCTTAACAGCTTTTAAATATGCAATACAGTATTATTTACTATAGTCGCCGTGCTGTACATTACATCCCCATAACAATTATATTTTGTCACTGGAAGTTTATATATTTTGACCCTCTTTACCTCTTTTACCCACCCCTACCTCACCCCCCCATCTCTGGCAATCACCAATCTGTTCTCTTTATCTATCAGCTTCTATTTTTTTAATTAAAAAAAATTTTTTTTAGATTCTACCTATAAATGAGGTCATCCAGTATTTGTCTTTCTCTAACTTATTTCACTTAGCATAATGCCCTGAAGTTCCATCTACATTGTTGCAAATGGCAAATTTTAATTCTTTTTTTATGGCCAAATAATATTCCAGTGTGTGTGTGTGTGTGTTTGGATTTGGAGATTATACATATCTAAGTATACATATAGAAGTATCTATATTACATGCCCTCTTTTTTTTTTTTTTTTTTTTTATCCTCACCCGAGGACACTTTTTCATTCTTTGTTCAGATAGAGCAGGAGGGAGAGAGAGAGAGAGAAACATCGATGTGAAAGGGACACATCGAGTGGCTGCCACCCGCACGACCAACCAGGGCCAGGGACAAACTGCAACCGAGGTACATGCCCTTAGCGGGAACCGAACCCGGGTCTCTCCAGACTGCAGGCCGATGCTCTAACCGCTGAGCCAAACCGGCCAGGCATGCCCTCTTTTTTTATATTTTCCTTATTATTAGGCTGTCTTACCAGTTCTTAGTTTAGGCTGAACATGCAATGGAGACTCTTCAGTGGGAATAGTTATTAATGGGTTTGGGACTGTGGAATTAGTGACTACAGCTGGTGGCCTATTGGTGTGACTTAGACCAAAACAAACAAACAAACAAACAATATTTAACTTCAAAGTTAGTAAGTGAATATAGTTTTTTATAATATGCAAACATGATAAATAATGCCAAAATTCTGCTTTGCCACACATTGTCTTTATCCATTCTTTCATTGAAAATAATGCTACAATGAAAATTGGATGCACATATCTTTTTGAGTTAGTGTTTTTTTTCTTCAGATAAATACCCGGATGTGAAATTGCTAGATCATATGCTAGTTCTATTTTTAATGAGTTTTTCTTTCTTTATTTGTAAAATGGGAATAATAATTCCTATTATATAGGTTCTTATTCTGATTTATATTTTCTTTGGAAATTAGACTTTTTTTTTCCTGTTAGGCTCTAAGGTAGAAACAAAAATAGTCTCTTCCATATTTTCATATTTCTGCAATGATAGTTTTGGAAGTAGGTGCTGGATTAGGCAGGAAAGACAAAACGAGCCTGAGATGCAAACAGACCTCACGTGTCAGTTGCAAAGGATTGTTCATGCCTGGCTGAGGCCCTGGGTAGAGAAGAGTTCTGAGCGGTTTCTGGGCTCCCTGGGAGAGATGCTGGCACTGATTTCTGACCTTTGTCAGGATTTGGAAATTATAAGTATCTACTCATCAAAAGTATCTATATTACATGTCCTCCTTCTTTATATTTTCCTGATTATTTGGCTGTCTTACCAGTTCTTAATTTAGATTCAACATGTGATGGAGACACTTCAGTGGAGACGGTTATTAGTGGGTTCAAGACTGTGGAATTAGCGACCCCTGCAGGTAGCCTGTTGGTGTGACTCAGACCAAAACAAACAAACAATATTTAACATCAAAATTAATACATTTTTTATAATATGCAAACATGATAAATAATGCCAAAATTTTGCTTTGCCACTTCTCCAAACTCAGTCTCTTTTGCAAGAGTAGGCACCATTATTCATTTACTGAGTAATAATTTTCAATGCCCTTTTGTGCACATATTGAAATATATGGTATTGTTTGCAGATTTAATTTACTTGAATCTTATCACACTTTATGCACTGTTCTGCAACTTACTTTTATTTCCCAATAATGTGTCTTAGGGATCTTTTTGTAATTTCAAGTACTGGTGAAGGTGTAGGAAAAGAGAATCCCCCACCCTGCTGGTGGGTGGGTAAATTAGTAGTATATCCTCCTCCTAGGCCACTTGCTATATCTACTGAAGGATGCACATGTTCAGTATCCCAGTAATTTCCCGGCTTGGTGTCTGTCTTAGAGAAATGCTCTTACGTGTACACAACAAGACATGTTCAAGTATTTCTTCACCACGTTGCTGTGATAGGGACGTGACTTACCTAGAATAGCTACTCTATCGAGTACTCTGCAGCAATGAAAAAGAATTAAGCCATTTTTTTTTGTAATTGCTCTGTTGTTAACCTAGTTACTATGAGGTCCCAGTGGCCATCTAAGTCCCCCTTTCCTCTCTAAGAAGATTCCTTTGTCGTAAAACACCTTAATCTACTCACATTATAAGTCAGAATCTTACTATTTATTATACAGAGATTTTAGTTAAATGTGGAAAAACTGTTTTCCTCCTATAACAACTTAACCAGCAAAATGAATTTGATTTCCCCTACATCCTTGACACTTTAAAAGAATGGTTGCCATAATAATGCTACAAACGTAACAACATTTTTATTTTTGCTTTGTCTTTTGTTGCAGGAATGAAGGCTTAATTCCAAGCAACTACGTGGCTGAAAACAAACGAACTAATTTAGAAATATATGAGTAAGTATCCTCCAAAATACACCCTATGGTTAATCTATGAAAATCAGGTACATTTAGGCAGTGTGTAAGTATAGATACTGTTTTGGGTCTTAAAAAGGAAAAGGAAGTAACACATTCGGCAGCTGTAGGCTAAGAGGTCTTTGATCCTTATAATGGTTGATTCAGAAACTTCTTTTTCTTAAACTTATTTTTGTTTCGTTATGTGTAGCCACTATTTTTTGTTTTGACAGTGATAGCATGAAGCCAAACACTTGTCTTTTACTTGTTTTACTATATGTCCTAAATGGAAAATTAACTATTTAAAAAATGACATTAAATTGTCATGAGTGATACACTAAACTTAATTTACAGACACATTACTGTATTTTGGCTCGTGTTTTGAAATGTTTTAGAAATAGTTGAAGATGAGAACTAGGCCAATGTAGTTTGGAAGAACTTTGGCGTGTTTGCAGGAGTCTTGCTTAAAAATCTATTTTTATTATACAGATTTGGAAGATAGAGGAGATTTTAGCAATCATTTTTTTTTAGCCCCTCATTCTGCAGGTCAGAAACTAAGGTTGAGAGATTAATTTATACGTAGAGAGTAGCAGAGCTGAGAGTAGTCCTACTCTTTTATAAATTTAGGTTTAGTTTGAGCTCTTGAGTACCATCTCCACTCTCATTAGATATTTGTTTTGCAATTAGTATATGCTTCCAGTAGGTAGCAGTAGGTGATGAATTAAGGCATTAAGACAGGTGCTTCTCTGAGAACCAGACAGCAAATAAATATAAATTGAATGAAAGAGCCCCCTGGGTCAGCTTCGCTACTAATTGACGCTCACCTAGAGGCCAAGCTTAGCATATCCCTTCCCTAAAACAAATCCAATTTTATGTTGTTGTTTTTTTTTAATGTTTTTATTGATTTTTTAGAGAGAGAGAAAAACATTAATGTGAGAGAGAAACATCAATCTGCTGCCTCCTGCACGCCCCATCCTGGGGATCAAGCCTGCAATTGGGCATGTGCCCTGATTGGACTCGAACCAGGACCTCTCAGTCCATGGGACGATGCTCAGTCCACTGAGCCACACTGGCCTGGCAACAAATCCATTTTTAAAAGATTTGCTGAATAGTGTCACTTTATTGGATGGCAGAAACAGATGACCGCAGGACACATGACCCATCTAGGTAACCTTCCCAGACTTCTCTACTGGCAAGTTCTCAAGCTAGTTTTCTCTCCCAAGTCACTCTCATCAGCTCCATCATAGGGTCTCTTCTCTCTCTCCCCCGCACATCCCAATCAGTCTGTCATGGCCCCTCTCTTTTTTTTTTTTTTTTTAATCCTCACCCGAGGACATTTTTCCATTTTTTGTACAGATAGAGTGGGAGGGAGAGAGAGGAAGGGAGAGAGAGGGAAACATCGATGTGAAAGGGACACATCGAGTGGCTGCCACCCACACGACCAACCAGGGCCGGGGACAAACTGCAACCGAGGCACGTGCCCTTAGCGGGAACCGAACCCGGGTCTCTCCGGACCGCAGGCGGACGCTCTAACCGCTGAGCCAAACTGGCCAGGGCATGGCCCCTCTCTTGACCTGTGTCATTTAGCTCTGCTCTGAAATACCATCTCCACCCAGAAAACAAAGCCTTTACGTGGCTGCACCCACCTTCCTTGGAAAACATTTCCACACCTGTCTATAGTTACTCAAGGGTGGCCCACCGGGGTGTCACCACTATCCCCAGCTCAAGCTGACCAACACAAACAGGTCTCTCTTTCTCATTCTTTTTTTGTTTATCCTCTTGCTTGTTTCTTTTTGATATTTTTCAATTACAGTTGATGGACAATATTATATTAGTTTCCAGTGATTAGACACTTATGTAACTTACAAAGGATCACCCTGATAAATCTAGTACTCATCTGTCACCATACATAGTTATTATAACATTGTCTATGTTCCCTTTGCTGTACTTAACATCTCCATGACCATTATATAAGTACTAATTTGTACTTCTTAATCCCTTGACCTTTTTCACCCATCAGTCTAATACCCCTCCCATCCAGCAATTGCCAAATTGTTCTCTGTATCTATGAGTCACAAACAAGTCTCTTTTAAAGCCAGGTCAGGAAAGTTTTGTTTGGAAATCTCCTGCTGAGAAAAATTAGAAAAATAAGACTCTTTTTTCAAATCATAATCCCAACTTGGATTTTCCAAGAGATTAAAGGAGACAGGTGTAAAAGTACCTAACAGCGTCTGGTGGTTAGTGAATGGATGCTCGCTAGCAGCAATCTTTATTTCTTTCCTTCCTTCCTTTATTCTTCTTCTTTTTTTAAATTTTATTTTTGTTACAGATGTTTCTCCTTTTTTTCCCCATTGACACCCTCCTCCCCATTCCCCCCACCCCGTCCCCGGTTTTGTTGTCCATGTCCATTGATTATACGTACATGCATATAAGTTCTTCCTTTCTAATTACTTTGCTCCTTGCTGCCCCTGTTTAGACGAGGCTTGGAGTCTGGCTTGAACAACTTCTTATATTGTAGATATTAGATAATTTGAATTAAACTACTCTGAGGTTAGACTAACCATCTCATTTCCTTGGGCCTTGATTTACATGTCTTTAAAAGTTATTTTCTTATAGACTCTAATTATGGGAAGACTGCTTTTTAATTTTATTGCTATTTCTTTTAAAAAAAGGTTTATTAGCAAAAAAGGGTTTATTAAAATATAGCTATAAAAATTATCAATAAAGCTATCAGCCATTTACAGTGTGCCAAGCACTGTCCTAATGACTGCACGGAAATGACTACCCTAGGGTGAAGTACTGTAGTGCGGACCTGGAAATCGGAAAAATCTGGGTTCAAATCTTCGCATCGGCACTGACTAGTGCTTTGGATGTTGGGACTTCTGTAACGTCTCTAAACCTACGAGTGATCTGAAAACTGGGGACAATAATACCTGTCCTATACAGTACATAGTAAACGTTCAATAATTTCTAGCAATTATCATTATTTCCTTGAACTGTGAAAATAACAAGAAAGGCATTGACGGTTTGAACCACCTTGCCCACTATTACAGGTATACTACATATCATTGTTACTTCAGCCCCCCAGATGACTTTATTTGTTCAATCTTTATTTATTGTACACGTATGGGGTACCAGGTGTTAGCCTTTTAAGATGCTGGAACACACAGAAGCAGTCCAGCCTTAATGAAACTTGCAGCTTCTTGGGGAAATAGATATTAAAGAGCTCCAAATTCACAACCAAATATGTAATTTTAAATTGTAGTGTTAGGAAGAAATAGTATGGGACACTGGGAGAAAACAGTGGGGACGGGTATAATTGAGAGGAGGGTGTTGGTTGGGGAAGACCTTTCTGAGGCAGTGACTTGAGGCTAAAGGAAGTACTAGGCAGTCAGGGGGCCAAGGGTGGGGCCGGGGGTGGGCCTGGGTGGGGCCAGGAGTGGGGCCGGGAGTGGGACGGGGTGGGCCAGGGTGGGGCTGGGGGTGGGAAGGGGTGGGCCAGGGTGGGGCCGGGGGTGGGGCAGGGATGGGATGGGGGTGGGGAAGAATGCTATGTCAGCGTGGGCTCTGACATCTCAGGGGAATGTTTATAAGTAGAAATGTTTATGGCTATTTTGGCTTTAAATTAATATCCAATTATCAACAATACAATGTAAAATCCTAGTTTTCAGTAAGCCTTCAAATTTAACTTGTAAATCTTGATATACTATTCATAAACAGAAAAAATATGAACAATGACCTTATTTCAAACTCAACATATTAAATGTCCTTCAACAATCAGCCCTATTTATAAGCTCCGCTAATTAAATTCCCCGAAACATTTAACTTCATTAATAAACTGAATAAATTCAATTTTCTTTTTGAGTACTTCTCATGCCAGACGGCAAATTTGCAATTGCAATAGCCCTTTGTAAGTCCTTACATGATCCTGGAATCTAATAAATTAAACTTATGTGGTGAATCTAATAAATTAAACTTATGTGAATCTAATCTAAACTTAGATAAATTTAATAAATCAAGTTCTCTTAACCATACAAATATTTTAAAAAACAAGTCAAATTCCCTTATACCTCAAATACCATGTTTAAGATTTATTATACATTTTAAATCAGAGGCAAAAACCCAATATGCCAGATTCTTTTAAAACTATAGGCATTTAAAATATCAAACATTGATTATCCCGAACTTTACAGAAGTATGAGTCTGATTTATCTCATTATGTCTACACTGAATGTTTAATCTTTCCATGGTTAAAAAGTCACTTACTAAGAGAAACAGATTGACCTTCTCAGGTCTAATAGGGTTTCTATGTTGAAAACTCAAGACCACAATACTGTTACTTATTGATCCGAAATCTAAGACTGGGACATGGGACCTGAGGCTTACATATACACAAGATGTGTGTACTCAACCAGAGCTGGATTTGCTGGGTTTCTTTTTATATGTCAATAGAAGCCCCGTCCCAAGTTCCATGTCCACACACTTCGGTATGAGTTTTATAATCAGCGTTGTCTAGGTATGAGTTACAGCCTTACCAATTTAAAACAACAAAAAACAAAACTCTTCTAACTTTTACCATCTGATTCAATTCTGAAATACTGTGCCCAAATTTCCCTAAGTTATAGTCATCCCATCTCATTCCTGCCTGTGGAATCCTGCATTATTTTCAAGAATCCTAAATGTATCATATATTTTTACTTGGCTCTTTGTCTACTAGTTTAAAGTCATTCTAATGACATGCACACAGATTTTTAGTTTACATTTAAACAAAATAATACATTCACTTATATTATTTATCACTATCATGAATAAGTATAATGCAACAAAATTAATACTGATATAATGGCAGTTAAAAAACATTTTAAAAAATGCAATTTATTAACTTTTTCCTTTTCTTATTTTTCTTTATTGATTTTAGAGAGAGGAAGGGAGGGGGAGAGATATAGAAACATTGATGAGAGAGAACATCGATTGGCCCCCTCTTACATGCCCCCACTGGGGATCTGGTCCACAACTTGGCATGTGCCCTGACCAGGAATTGAACTGGTGACCTTTTGGTGCATGGGTCGACGCCCAACCACTGAGCCACACTGGCCGGGCATTAACTCTTTCTTTTTCAAATACCATTATGAAGACTTTACTTTTCAGAGAGTCAACATATTTTAGTGAGCTATAATTGTTATTCTCCTTTTAGCACCCATATTTCACAACTTAGCCAGCGTGGGCCCCTTCAGACTGATACTTGTGTCTTTAACTTTGCAACAGGAGGTCTCAGACTCACTGTGAAATTCCCTTCACAATATGAACATTCATTAAAAAGTACTAATCTCAGAGGGAAGGGGGGAGGGGGTGGGAAGAGATTAACCAAAGAATTTATATACATATATACATAACCAATGGATATAGACAGTAATGCAGTGAAGGCCAGGGTGGGAGATGGGGGCAGGGAAGAGGGGGGAAATGGGGGGAAAAGGAGGACATCTGTAATAGTCTCAACAGTAAAGATCATTTTTATTTATTTTTTTATGCACTTCAAAGTGAATCCTTTTTTTTTATTAATTTATTTTTGTTACAGATGTTTCTCCTTTTCTCCCCATTGACACCTCCTCCCAATCCTGCCCCCACACCCCCAGCATTGTTGTGTTACGTGCATACATGCATATAAATTCTGTGGTTCATCTCTTCCCTCCCCCCATCCCCCTCTTCTGAGGTTTGTCAGTCTGTACCCTACTTCTATGTCTCTGGATCTATTTTTTCCATCAGCTTGTTCTGTTCATTATATTCCACAAATAAGTGAGAGCATGTGATATTTGTCTTTCTCTGATTAGCTTTTTTGCTTAAGAGAATTTTTTAAAAAGTACTAAATAATATTCACGGTTGAACGTCACAGTTACCCTTATTCCCACTAGTGATAAATCGTAATTTTATCTAGAATCATCTGTAATCATCCCTATTCTCTGTGGTCCATCTTTTTAAAGGTTCATGTTCACTTTAAGGGCATTCATATTTTAAAGACCTGACCATTCTACTTTAGTGGCAGCTTTGTACTACTGGAAGTTAGGGGAAGTCCATACAATAAGATAGATTCCATCCCCAAAGTCAGGCGTGAGTTTCACTTAGCCACCTTGCGGCCCTCCCACCATGACTCAGTCATGGTTAGACATGCCTTCTTCCTGCCACTGTCCAGAAAAATAGCGTTTCTGGTAATAGTAGATTTGCTGCTTTTAAAAATCTTGTTTTGAAATGAAAGCTTTTCCAATTTTCTTTCTTTCTCCTTGGTTCTACCATTTCCTTTCTCTTCTTGGGCACCATTTGCTTACTGACTTGACACTGCCATACCAAACTGTATATTGAAATTACAATATTATTTAATTATGACAACTGTGTGCACCTCTGGTATTCCAAAGCAGGGATTTTCAACCAGTGTGCCAGAAGAATTTTGAAAACAAGCAATAGCTGATTATTTAGTCAGGGACACTGACCTCTTTTCCCTGAGGTTGTCAAATAAGAAAATAACAACAGCTAACTCAATAGCCATCCTGTGTGAATGAATCAAAATGTTTCCTTTTTTTTTTTTGTCAGATTTGCAAAAAATATCTTTTCTGGTGTGCTGCAGAATTTTAGTAATTAATTGATGTGTACCATAAGATGAAAAAGGTTGAAAATTGCTGTCCTAAAATCTTATAGTGACATTTCATGCAGAGGTAATAGCAGGATTGGAGGCAGGAAAGAGTTTTGAGAAAGGAAAAAATCCCACGTGGCGGGAGCTCGGGGTGTGAGCAGAGGAGGAGGAACCGTGAGGAGGAGGGGGTGCTGGGAGCAGGGTTCTATCCTGATCTGTTCCATTTACTCCACTAAACTTCTGAGTTTACTACAAGTTAACATACTTGGGAAAGTCAATAAGTTATTGTGTGTTTTAATCTTGGAAAGGTAACATAGCACATACAAAAGCATGCAAATAAAATGTTCCTGAGCAGAAGGAAACAGGTATTTTTTTAGGTTGTCTTCCAAAACTCAGTGAAGGGTTTGTTGAAGATGATGACTTCTTTTTCTACTTTTTATTTTTTAAACCCTCACCCTGGAATATGTTTTTATTTATTTTAGCGAGAGGAAGGGAGAGGGATAGAGAAACACTGATCAGTTGCCCCCATACCTAGACTGGGGATTGAACCCGAAACCTGGCTATGTGCCCTGACCAGGAATCGAACCTGTGATCTTTCGGTGTATGGAACAATGCTCCAACCTACTGGGCCACCCACACAGGCCAGGTGAAGGTGACAACTTCTTTTTTTTTATCCTCACCTGAGGACATTTTTCCATTTTTTGTTCAGATAGAGTGGGAGGGAGAGAGAGGAAGAGAGAGAGAGAGAAACATCAACGTGAAAGGGACACATTGAGTGGCTGCCACCCGCATGACCAACCAGGGCCTTGGACAAACTGCAACCGAGGTATGTGCCCTTAGCGGGAACCGAACCCGGGTCTCTCCGGGCCACAGGCCGATGCTATAACTACTGAGCCAAACCGGCCAGGGCGGTGACAACTTCTTAACCACATACCTTTCGTGAAAATTCTCAGGAGGTTAAATTATTCAAAATTATATACTAAGTGTGTGTCAGAAAGTTGAATTGAGATAGAATAGAAAAGACTTGCAACTAATAAAACTCCACTAAGCTAAATTAATGGATTTATAATAGTACATTATTATATATCTGAATTTAAAAAAACACTCTACTTTCTAAAAATCAGTTCTGGAGTAAGTTTTTAAAAACAACGGAAATGAAGCGGGTTTTTTTTCTTTATTTTTTTTTCTGAAAAAAAAAACCAACAACCAAAAAACGAAATATAACAATTAGAAATTATTTGTATTGCTTTTACAGGTGGTACCACAGAAACATCACCAGAAATCAGGCAGAGCGTCTTTTGAGACACGAGGTAATTCAACTTACTCCTGAATTAATCTGTGAATATTTTCAAAGTTTCTGAGAGAGGTACATTGTAAAGAAAGACCTTACCCAACTAAAGCATTTTATTGCTTCCTGTTCTCTTTAGTTTTAAAGTATTATAATTTTATCTCTATACCCATTTTTTCTTTATATACATTTTTTGTTGTCGTAAGCTAGTTGTCTTTGTATCATATTATTTTCTGTTGATTTTCACCATAATTTCAGAAACATGTTTTTCCTGAAATGATTTCAACACCCACATTCTCCAGCTTCGTTCATTCCAAGTGCACTCTAGCAGTACAGTCTGTATTTGAAGTTCCCACACACCTTTGCCTCAGTGCCAGTCAAATACACATCCAATCCTCATAAGCTTAGCTTAGGCTCATTAAAAACACAAATATAGAAAAATTCAAACTGCTGCACCTTCTTTGTTCTTTGGGAACAAAGGGGAGGGTAAGGTAGCCAAAATATCAAGCTCGGGTCAAAACTGCTCATTTAGATCAAAACAAAACAAACTGCATATCGTTTAAATTTCCAACTGATGGTAAATAGTAACTGTGGGTAAATGTAGAGTCAAAACTAGAAAGTAGGCGAGAGGTATGTGTGTCATTGTGCGCTGCTGTCGGATGTTGAGGAAATCTAGAAATGTAAGTGAGAAAGAAGCAGTTCTGTAACTAAAACCTCAATGCCAGTAATGGCTCAGGACCCAGGGAAGGGCCAGGTGAGAGCGGGGGACAGGCAGAGGGACACGGACCCAGCCTCACGGGGGTGGAGGTGGAGGCTACAGGTGGAGCCTGACTCCACTGGCTAGGAGGAACTGTGGGGGGATCTGCCTGGCGCGGTGACAGCAGGTGGCTTTCTGTAAAGTGAGCTTCCTAGGTCCAGAATGAACAAAGAGGTTGACAGGCAGGCAGGACTGGAGAAGAGCAGTCCAGCAGATCCACAGGAAGCCAGGCGGTCACAGGTAACCTGGCCGGAGTCACTGCGCTGAGCTGGTTCAGTGTGAGTGGTTCCGCCCCTGAGAGGAGCCCGAACAGGGTGAGGGTCTCAACACCCCACAGAGACTAGAACAGGCAATTATGTGACAACCGTCGCATTCCCAAACCCAGACAGCACAGCGTGCAGTCCCATTTGGCCATCACGTTTCTTAATGAAAGGAAATGGACAGTGAAGCCCATCCTACAGCTTTCTAGTCCGTCACCACTCCCCAGAGGCAGCCGTGGGAGGAGGGTGTGCTCCATTTTGTCCCTGTGCTTATATTTTTATCATGGCATAAGCAAATAATCCCGTTAGTTTGTATGTTTTAATGTTTGACATAAAGGAGACCATATGTGCAGATTTTAAAAATTAAGCACACTATTTTAAATTTTATTCCAATGGGTACATATAGAGCAAACACATTCCTTTTTTGTTGTTGTTGTTATTTATCTTCAGATAGAGTGGGGGGGGGGAAACATCGATGTGAGAGAGACACATCGAGTGGCCGCCACACATCGAGTGGCTGCCACTCACACGACCCCAACCAGGCTGGGGACAAACTGCAACCAAGGTATGTGCCCCTAGTGGAACCGAACCCGGGACTCTCTGGTCCGCGGGCTGACGCTGTAACCGCTGAGCCAAACGGGCCAGGGCCAAACACATTCCTTTAATCACTGTCTAGTGTTTCATTATATTAATATACCCAAACATGTGTATTTCACTAGTGATAAACATTCAAACTGTTTGTAGTTTCTTACTATTACAAACAGTGCTGCAGAGGACTTCCTTGTACTTGTCATTTGAAACACAAAGGCAAGGGGTTTCTTTTGATTATGCCCAGAAATGGAACGGTCTGGTCAAGGAGGCTGTGCACATTTAACACTACTCCATCCTATCAAATCGTGAGCAAAGCACTCGTACTGGTTTATACTCTTACAGGGAATGAGAAAACTAGTTCCCTGCACTCTCGCCAACAATTGGTAGAGTCACACTTTTTCAATTCATCCAGTGGGAAATTTTATATGTATAGTAAAATGTACATTTCCTTGATAAGCATCTCGATTGAATAACTCGTCATGTGTCTATTGGCCAGTTGCGCTTCCTCTGCTGTTACATGCCTGTTAGTAATCTCTGCTCATTTGTCTGTAGTGTTTGTCTTTTAAACTGACTAATGTATATTTAAAAAATATATTCTGAATGCCAATCTGTTGTCAGTTAGTTATGTGTTACAACTATAGTCTTTGGTTCCTGGCTTCTTATACAGACTTTCTAAAAATGTTAATGTCAAATTTCTCAATATTTTTCTTATGATTTCTGCTCTTTTGTTTATTTGTTTACTATAAGAAATTTCTCTTTTTCCTAAAATAATAAGGGAGTTTTATGTTTTCCCTTAAATGTTTTAAATTTTTTCTTTTCACATTTAAGTATTTAATCTGTCTGGAGAGAGAGAGAGAGAGATTTAAAAATATATACATATTTTCCTATATATCTTAAAATGTTTTCTGTAATTTATATATTTTATAATTTTTATTTTAAAAAAATATACCTTGGTTAAATCGCACTCAGTCATGAAGCATTTAAAATATATATTTCTGGTTTGAGTTTCCTAATATTTTATTTAGCATTTTCCTGTTACATTCAGAGTGATCCAGGCTTCTAAGAATTTATTCTCTTTGTCTGGTTTTAGTATAAAGGTTATACTAGCATCATAAAATAAGCCTCACACTTTTGTCTTTTTTTTCAATCTCTGGAATAGTTGATATTAGATAAAAGTTATTTGCTCCTAACTTAAAGGTTAAATATATGTCTTGTAAAATAGTCTGGACATAGATAATAGATGTGAGAGAGACACATTGATTGGTTGCCTCCCACATGACCCTGACTGGGGCTGATATTGAACCTGCAACTCAGGTATGTGCCCTTGACCAGAAATCAAACCCAAGACCCTTCTGTCCTCTGGCCAATGCTCTAGCCACTGGGCAACACCAGCCAGGCCTATTTCATATTTTAATAGTATGTTCCCATAATTCCAAAATCAAAAGGTTTTGAAAGTTTCTTTCACCCTTGTCCCCAAGCCATCAGTTCCTCTTCCCACAGATAGCAGTTCCCACAGAACTGCTATTATAAGTTTATTTTGTGTGCTTTCAGAGGTATTTAACACATACACATGCCAGTACGATATATTTTTTATTTTTCCATAAATGGTAACATAATATACATACTCTGCTGTACATTACTTTTTTCACTTTAGTGATATACATTAGGTATCTTTCCTCATCAGTATACAAAATGTGTCCTTTCTCATTTTCATCTGCGTAGTATTTGTTAGTCTGGCTGTATCATGATTTATTAAACCAGTCCTTCATTATGGAAATGTAAGCGGTATACACTCTTTTGCTATTAAAACTGCTGCCTAGGTAACTTCCTGTTCTCCTTTATGTGAGTATATTTGCAGGTTACATCCTGAAGGTGGAAATTTGGGGTCAAAGGGAATGTACATTTCTGATATTTGCAGATGTTAAAATGCCCTTTATAAGAGTTGTAGCAATTTCTATCCCTACTAGCAATATGAGAGAGCGCATGTCCCCCCAGGACCTTTCCAGCAAGTGTTTCAATAAAACATTTGGAACTTGGCTCCCTGACATCTCATCTCAGTGTGGATTTCATTTTTGTTTCTCTTATTCTAGGAATGTTAAGCATCTTTTTATATACCAAGCTTTATATATTTGTATTTCCTTTTTTTTTTTTTTTTTTTTTAACCAAAAGGAAAATTTATTTGACAAACAGGCGGACTCCCCACAGTGGGGAGGGGACCCGAGTGGGTTGCCCCTGTATTTCCTTTTCTGTGAAATGTCTGTTCATATCCTTTGCAAAATTTTCTTTCCTTTTTGTTATATGCTTTTCTCACAATTTATAGGACATGTATAACTAGCTATAGTCAAGAAATTAGCCTTTGTGATATGTAACAATACTTTCCCAAGTTTTTCAATTGTTCTGTATTTTTTTTCGCCATGAATAGTAATTGAATTTTTAAAAATGTTTTTATTGATTTTAGAGAGAGAGAGAAAGAGAGAGGGAAAGAGATGTGGGTGAGGAATATAGATTGGGTGCCTCCTGCACGCCCTCTACTGGGGATCTAGCCTGAAACCCCGGCTTGTCCCTGGAGTGGAAACCACTTCTCTGTTCGCAGGAGGCGCTCAACCACCTGAGCCACTCCAGTCAGGGCAGCCATGGATAGTCATTGGACTTTATATATTTGAACTTTTTTCAGACACATTTTTGTAAAGCTTTAAGGTTGTATCAGGTTAGAATTGCCTTTCCTAATTCAAGGTATACTGTATAAAATTTTCCTTGTTTCTTGATTATTTTAGTGGTTTGATTTATCTTTTACATATACATGTTTGATCCGTTTGTAATATTTCTTTGATATATTAAGTGAGGTATGGATTGGACTTTATTTTTTTCTAGATTGTTCCTATGTGTCCTTTTCTGCACTGACTTAGGGTACCACTTCATCCTCAACACCATTCCTCTGGGACTGACTATATCTGAACTTGCTACTTGGTTTCATTGGTCAGCCTCTTCCAATGTGCTGCTCTCGTACTAGTTTCAATACTGAGACTTAAATACCAGCCTTCCTCATTCCTCTTCTTCTTGTATTTTATTTTATTTTTCTTTATTGATTTTAGAGAGAGAGAAAGAGAGAGAGAGAGAGAAACATCGATTGGCTGCCTTCTCTTGATTGGATTAAAAACCTAGGGAGAAAGACAAATTATTTAATATTTAGTTAGAATTTTTTCATTGATAACTGTTCAGAGTTTTACCTTTTGTGCATAGTTGTTGCTGTGTTAGTATTTATGTTAAGCTCCTCTTATATAAAAATTTAGTAGTGTTTCTTCTTTTTATATGCTCTGGAATTATTTGATTAATCTATCATTTCTAAAATTTAAGATTTGGTAACATTACCATGTGTAACTATAGTGCTTTTAAATGTTGTGGCTCTTTTGGAACTTGATCCATTTTTCTGTTCAATAGGTCCATTAAGATTTCTAGCTCTTCTGTCATCAATTTTAATATATTTAATGTTTTAATACATTTTATATTTTATTGAAGTTTTCAAATTTAGTATATAGAGTCAAGAAAAATTTAAATTTTTTCTCCTGGACCCTTGTGACTTTTTTATTTATTTATTTATTTATTTATTTATTTATTTATTTATTTATTTTTTGTGGTACATGCCCCTAGTGGGAACCAAACCTAGGACTCTCTGGTCTGCATGCGACGCTCAGCCACTGAGCCAAACTGGCCAGGGCTCTCCTGGACCCTTGTGACTTATTTTTTTGATAGAATTTCCCATTTATTATTAAGATAATTATCAATTTATCTATTTTATTGTTTTCCTCTTGACAACCAGATTTTGAATTTAATTATTAGATATATTTTATTTCATTACTAGCTGTATTATTTTTGTTATTTAAATAATAATTTATTATGAAAAGAATTCATTATTTTCTGCCTTTGTCTTTATTAATTTCTTTCTTTTACTTTACTTAAATTTATTTCGTAATTCTTACCTAATTTCTCCAGTTGGATACACTTACTTGCATTCTTTTCATTGATATAAGTAATAAGACTACAGATTTACTTCTGAGTATTGCTTGAACTATATAGCAGGGGTTCTAATACATAGATATTTTTCAATTTTATTTAAATTTCTTTGAGTTTTACAAAAGAGAACTAAAAAATGAACAGGTAGCTTTCTCTTTGGAGTTTGTATGCATACATACATATATATCATACATACATATATACACACATACATATATACCATACATACATATACACACACATACATATATACCATACATACATATACACACACATACATATATACAATACATACATCTTGGTCTTTTACGTCTTGTGTCCCCCATGGCATATAATGCAGTCTTTGCACATGGTAGGAATTAAATGAAAGCCAAATGTGATCACTTTAAGTGGCTCTAAGAGGTTCTTTGGTTTGAAGCATCTGGGAGAAGGAGACTCTGCGTCATGGGCTGTGTTCACTTCGAGGTTCAGCCATGCGGTTTGGGTTGTGCAGTTCTCAAACGATGTATCAGCACTTGCAGGTGTAAACTTTCATCTGTTGGACAAGATTCTGAGATACTTTCCTCTTCACAGTGTAAGCACCCAGTAAAGCTGAAACATTTCACAATATCAAACAAATAAATCAACTAAAACTGTCCAACATTCGAGATTATTTGAAAGCAATTCACAGCTTTATTGAGATTTCCCAAGAAAGTCAGTGGGGATCCAATCCATAAACTACCATCAATTTTACTATATTCTTCCCTCTTGCCATTTCCCGTTTTGTCTTTCCCATACCCCTAGAACAACTAAAATGGCTCCCCTTGCTCTTCTCTCTAGACTCCCCAAATTTATTCTCTCTTCATCAAACTCTGGTCTCTTTCCCACTCCCCATCCCAACAATTTCAGATGTATTTCTCCCTTCCTCCTGCATCCCCACCTGTCATTTCCTTTCTTTTCTTCCAAAGTACAGTCTGTCCCTCTGTCTCAGAGTTCTTCCTACTCATCGGCTATTTCACCCTATTATCCTGATCAATAACAAAGATAACTAAATGGTGGGACACAAGGTTACCAAATACAGAAATTTTCTTAGGAAAATTGGGGGCAAAGTTTTAAAATACTCATATGTAATAAATTCTTGTCCTAATTATATCCTATTGTAGAGGTATTATTTCTAAACCCGTACTTGTAAAGACAAGTCAGTATAGCTTTGGTTTTCATTACTGAGATGTAAGTTTGTCTTTCTTTCTAATAAAAAGTAAACTTGTATAATGAATGAATTGTTTTGCAGTCTAAAGAAGGCGCCTTTATTGTCCGAGATTCAAGACATCTGGGATCCTACACAATCTCTGTGTTTACAAGAGATAGGAGGTAAGCAATTGTGACCTTGGTCACTTAAGAAATAACAATCCTTAGGATAGTCTTTTTTTTTTATCCTCACCCGAGGACATTTTTCCACTTTTTGTTCAGATAGAGTGGGAGGGAGGGAGAGGAAGAGATAGAGAGAGAGAAACATCGACGTGAAAGGGACACATCGAGTGGCCACCACCCGCACAACCAACCAGGGCCGGGGACAGACTGCAACCGAGGTACGTGCCCTTAGCGGGAACCGAACCCGGGTCTCTCTGGACCACAGGCCGACGCTCTAACCGCTGAGCCAAACTGGCCAGGGTTTTTTGTTTTGTTTTTTAAGGACAGTCCTTTTTATGGAGACACCATCACTTAGAGAACGTAAGAGAGAGCCTAGCATATGGAGATTGCTGCACTGAAAATTAAGACAACTGACCAATTCAAGTTGTATCCCTAGCAAGCTCGTGTGTAGCATTGGGTGTTCTTAAGTTCTCTCTTCCCCTTTTCTCAGCCATCAAGTGAGGAGATTAGATCAGTTGTGGCCGAGCTGGCGGTGATTTCCTCATGTCCCTTGGTCTGTCCTGGGTTTACCTGCAGAAGAGTCCACCTGCCCTGAGAAAGCTTCCTTTGTCTTTCTGCCTGAGGATGGTTTCTGCACCAGGGAACTCATGGTCCCCATGGCTAGGCTGGAAGTAACATCCTGAGAATTAACATCCTAGGAGCGACCCTCCATCAGTGAGGAGTGGGAGTTGGTGTATAAGCACCTCAGCTTCTTTGCACTTTTGTGGAACAACTCTGAGGTCTTTCCACGGTCTCTCAGCTTTCTGTAAGGACTAAGCTCCAGTTGCCCATAGCAAAACCGCTTATCAATACACCCATTATTGGTTTTTGTCCCTTCTTTGTCTCACATCACCTCACAGTGCAATACTTCATTCACTTAACCCATACTTGATATTCAGTAAGTACTTATGTGCCCATTATAAGATCTAGTTGTCACCTAGACAACTTTGGCTGAACCGATGTTTGATCCTAAGGCCCCGATCAGACAGCTGAGGAATTTTCCTGGGATGATGAGGAACCTGTTTAATTTAATCCAATCTGCTCTTCGGTGTGTAGTGTGGCCAGGCGAAGAGTTTTACAGGTGGAGTTCTGTTGCTTGATGAATTAATTTAGTTCCAAAGTGATCTTTGGCTTGTTTACTAATTCACATGTTGTTGACAGTAGAAGCATGGAGGCTACCATCAAACATTATCAGATTAAGAAGAATGACTCAGGAGAGTGGTACGTGGCTGAGAGGCACTTCTTTCAGTCAATCCCCGAGTTGGTCTGGTATCACCAGCACAACGCAGCAGGTAAGTCAGGAACTGGTTGGGAGGGTCGGGGACCAGGCTCTCGATAGGCAACGCATCTTTGGTCTCAGACACTTAACAAATAGCCCTATAAAAATGTGTGAGAGCTTGAAATGCAACATGCTTCTGAACAGTTCTCTTCATTGACGCCTCCTTGTTTTTCTAGTCAGAGGGCAAGAGCTAGACCAATTTTTTACATTTCTGCTAAGTTAGAAAAATGATAGGTGACAGGGAAGCAAAGGCTATTTAGTGATCATGTATTTGTTCTTGAACGTTGCATAGGACTAATGTGGTAGGACTTTCAGTGTCCTAAAGAATCATGTGTCCTTTCCTTGCCCCCATAAATCTGCTCTCTACTGCAGACTATTGCCATAGGCAATGACCCTTAAATCTCTTGGTCTCTGTTCGTTTTTGTTTGGAGAACAGAAGAAGTTCCACAGGACGCAGGCTTTCACTAATTACATTTTGGCCTAAATATACTGGAGGCATATTTAACCCCCATCCCCAGCTATTGTTGGTAATAATTACCATTTTTGCAAACATGTCATCTACGGAGAGATATAAGATTCCAGAAAGTTCCACTGCAATTGCAATCACATCTCTGGCCTTCAGCCCTCACCCAATTTCTGCTAGACCACTGGGAACCCATGGGGGAATCCTCTTACCCGAGCATCATAGAATTTGAAACCCACTGTAATTCTTCATATTGTTGTACTTCTTGTTGTGCAATACTGGTCTAGATTGCTCTCATAAAAAGCTATGTTGACAAAAAAGACCTCTTTTGGAAAGCAGCCACTTCCCCATTATTCTGATTCTAAACATCAGGAATAAATCCGAGGACATAGTTATCCACTTGTGGACTGAGTCCCCGTGGATATCCCAGATGGTCGAGGGGGTTTGGTTACAGAGGAAGTGGCAACGTGTCTGGGTGGGCCAGGGAGGGCCTGTCTGTGGCGAGAGGTAGAAACCCTTTGAATGAGACCAGTTCTGTTTTCTCCTTCACCCTCCTCTTTCCCCTCCTTCAAAGACAAAATTTAAGAAACAGAGTGGTTGTGGTGGTGAGGTTAAAAAAATACCGAGGTAGATCAGGATGTGCTAACGTGAAAAGATGTTAGTGATAAGTTGTTTAGTAAAAAAAAGTACAAAGCAGTATGTTTAGAGTATAGTGCCGCTTTTGAAAAAATACACCTTTGTACATGTATATGTGCATAGAAAAACTTGACGTTTAGGTAATAACTTTTATTTAAAAATTTTTTTTATTAATTTATTTTGGTTACAGATGTTTCTCCTTTTTCCTGCATTGACACTCTCCTTCTGATCCCCCCGCCTACCCCGTCCTCAGCATTGTTGTCTATGTCCATGGTTACGCATACATGCATATAAGTTCTGTGGTTTATTTCTTCCCTCCCCCCCCCCCCCCCCCTTCTGAGGTTTGTCAGTCTGTGCCCTGCTTCTATGTCCCTGGGTCTATTTTGTTCATCAGCTTGTTTTTTTTTTCATGATATTCCACAAATCAGTGACATCATGTAATATTTGTCTTTCTCTGATTGGCTTGTTTTGCTTAGGATAATACTCTCCAGTTCCCTCCATGAAGTCTCAAAGGATACGAGATCTTTTTTTCTTACAGCTATATAGTATTCCATTGTATATATGTAACACAGCTTTTTTATCCACTCGTGTATTGATGGACACTTGGATCCAGATCTTAGCGATAGTGCTGCTATGAACATAGGGGTACATATATTCTTTCTGATTGGTGTTTCAGGCTTCTTAGGGTATATTCCTAGAAGTGGAATCACTGGGACAAATGGCAGTTCAATTTTTAATTTTTTGAGGTAACACCATAGTGTTTTCCACAGTGGCTGCACCAGTCTGCATTCCTACCAGCAGTGTACTAGAGTCCCCTTTTCTCCACACCATCGCCAGCACTTGTTGTTTGATGATTTGTTGATGGCGGCCATTCTGACAGGTGTGAGGTGATACCTCATTGTTGTTTTAATTTGCATCTCTCTGATGATTAGTGATGTTGAGCATTTTTTCATATGTCTCTTGGCTAGGTAATAATTTTTAAACTAATTAGATTATAATAGACTACTAACTGTTTAGGTTTATTTCTGGGGAATGAAACTTGGGGTATGGACAGCTTTTATTTTATGCTTCATAAATTGTTTTTTTTTTTTTTTTTTTTTTTTTTTATCCTCACCCGAGGATATTTTTCCATTTTTTGTACAGATAGAGTGGGAGGGAGAGAGAGGAAGGGAGAGAGAGAGAGAAACATCGACGTGAAGGGACACATCGAGTGGCTGCCACCCGCACGACCAACCAGGGCCGGGGACAAACTGCAACCGAAGTACGTGCCCTTAGCGGGAACCGAACCCGGGTCTCTCCAGACCGCAGGCCGACGCTCTAACCGCTGAGCCAAACCGGCCATAAATTGTTTTAAGGTTTAATTTTTTATTACAATGTACATAAATTATTCTTACAATATATAATACAGATAACTTTTAAAATAAAAAAAAGCCTTGGTCAGTTTTGCTCAGCGGTTAGAGCATCGGCCTGTGGTCCAGAGAGTCCCGGGTTTGGTTCCCGCTAAGGGCATGTACCTTGGTTGCAGTTTGTCCCCGGCCCTGGTTGGGTCATGCAGGTGGCAACCACTCGATGTGTCCCTTTCACGTTGATGTTTCTCTCTCTCTCTCTCCCCCACTCTATCTGAACAAAAAATGGAAAAATGTCCTCGGATGAGGGTAAAAAATAAATAAAATAAAATAAAATAAAAACTGGATCAAACAATGAAAACAGCGCCTGAAAATGTAAAACTATGGCTGTTATTTATTAAAGAAAAGAAGTAGAAAAGAAATACAGCAACAAGAGAGAAGGATGATAGGGGAAAGGCATGGCAGTCAGAAATAATCTACCTTTATGGTAGATTTACTTTAGGCCAGACCCTGTCCTCAGTGCTTTTATGTATATTTATTTACTTAATCTTTAAGTAAATAAAGGTATTTACCTACCTCGAGGTAGGTGCTGTTGCTAACTTTATCTTACAGACGGGGAAACTGAGGCATGCGTTGTGAGGAAACTTGCTCAAGGTCACACAGTTACGTAGTATCTGCACTGAGGCTCGAACTCACAGAAATCTTTAAAACCACTGGAGCCATTGAGCCTGTTAAATCCAGAGTCTGCTTTCAACTACAGCTGTCATTTCCAGAAAGAGGCAAATTGTATCTTCGAAGAATATTTGGGAGGGTCCACTTTTGGAAGAGGCTGTGAATTGAAACCCATGACTATTTAAATGTCTGCGATCTGGCTTCTGCCTCCATCGCCCTGTGGTTTACAGGTGAACCTCATATTGCCCCACATGGTGGTACTTTCTAGTTCTCATATTTTCAGTCCTCTCTGCTATATTTGACAGAGTCACCCCTTGAACTTCCCTGCTTCCTAGATGTTTTGACACCACCCATTTTTCTTCTCTCATTCAGATCTTCCTTTTGGGTCTTCCCATTGGGTCCTACTTCTGTTCTCTTAAACATTGGTGTTCCTCCAGGATCCATCCCTGATCACTTCTCTTTTCAACCATACACTCCAGTGATGAAACAGAATTCTTTATCTTCTATCGATGCTCTTCCTCCAAACCTCCTCCTCCTCCTGTTGTCTATCTCAGATAATGGTATCATCATCCCACCAATTACAGGGGCTGGAAACACAGGAGTCATAACAGATGCTTCCATTCTTCTTACCGTCTAACATCTGATTATTAAGTGCAATTAATTCCATATCCTAAGTATGTCTGGTGTAGGTCCCTGCTGCTCCCTGACTCTCAGAGTTGCTCTAACCATTGCTTACTTGGACAATTGCAGTCGCCTCTTTACTGGTCTTGTTTTTGATGTGGCCTTCCTCTCAGTCTGTCTACTATGCTATTGTCAGAATGATCTGTTAAAAATGTAAATTTGACCATGCCTCTCCCTTATTTGGGAACTTTCAATGGCTTCCTCTCACCTGCTGGAAGATGTAACGCTCCCTGGAATGGCCCGTCATAACCAGAGTCTACCTACCACTCAAGTGCCATTTCTTGCCCTTCCTACCTCCACTTTTTGTTCATCCTGTTTCACACCTCTAAGTATCATGCCCTTCTGTTACTTATGCCGAAAATGTCCTTCATAGATTCTCCTCATAGGTTAGCTCCATTTGTTAGATTCATCTCGGTACCATTTCTTCCCAGAAAACTTCTTTGAATCCAACAATGTGTGAGGTGCTCTTGCTCTGTGTCCCAGAGCACCGAGTGCACCTCCAGCACAGGACTTATTCCTTTACCATGGGAACTGCCTCTCTTTGCCTGTCTTCCCTCCCTGAGATGGAGCCCTGTGGGCAGGGTCCTCCGGGACTTGGGGGGGAGGGGTCTTCCTAGAAGCACTTAATAATGCTAATTTCTGTTCTGATATTGGCTAAGCTTGTTTCTGTCTTCCAACCTTTGCACATGCTGTTCCATCTACCTGGAATGCTCTTCCTTCTGATTTTTGTTTGATGGCTCCTTGTTAATTAATGTCAGCATAGCTATTATCTTATCAGAAAGGTCTTCCTTGAGCACCCACTTTAAAGCAGCTATATTTGATCATTCTGCCTTGAACTCATTGTCTTCTACTTTTTCATGTGTGTTAAATTTCTTATAAACAAGTACATGCACATATAGAATGAAAGCATCATGAGAGCAGGGACCATCGATGTCATTCACTGCTGTCTCCCACCATCTAGATAATGCTCATCCATTTCCAGGCCCTCAGTAAACATTAGTTGAAGAAATAAATAATAAAGGCTTGTTGAATTAGACTGAAATTGACTGTGTAGAACACTACATGTTGGCACAATCAAAAGAAATATCATTTACTTGTTTATGCTATTAAAAAAAAGTCCTTTCGAAAAGTAGGATGAGGAAATATGGTTACACTTAAGCGTATTTGGTTGAATAAATTGGTACAACTTTTGTTAGACACCCTTTGATCTGGAAACCACATTTTAAGGAATTTATCCTGAGATGGTAATTTGAGAGGTTCAAACAAATATACGTTCAAGATCATACAGCATATTTTACAGTAGGGAAATCTTGGAATTCACTTTAAGGTCTATTTATAGTCATGACATGTAAAAAGCTTATAGCAGACATTTACATTTCTGTAAAATGAATTGGATGTGTATGTGCTCCCAATACATGTACAGAGATTTCTGCAAAGATGTTTACCAAAATGATAACAGTATATCTCTTGTTAATATTTTATGAGGGATCTTTATTTCATCTTTATATGTTCTTTAAGTCTTTAATTTGTGTTCAAAGAGCATATATTATTTTATAAAAAATGTTTTTCAAATGCGAAAAATAAGCAAACAGACTAAGTAGAATACTTTTTTGCCTTATTTATGTGAAAACTGGTACTGTAGTCTTGTATGTTATTTCTATTAGTAACTAGGCTTCAAACGCTGATTTCTCTTTCTCCTTAGGTCTCATGACCCGTCTCCGCTACCCCGTTGGGCTGATGGGCAGCTGTTTGCCAGCCACAGCTGGTTTTAGCTATGGTAATGTGTACATATGTGCTCAAGTAACATATCAAACCCAGTAAAGAATTTACCCCGAGTTCCCTCTATGTTCTTTCAATTCTCAGCTCTGAGATGTTTATGAAGATATGTTTCTTCTCAGAGTTTAAATCCCCCTTCTGAGATATTTAAATATATGCACCTCATAAGGGCAATTTAAACATTGGGGGAAAATGTGTTACTTTTTTTTTTTTTTAATCCTCACCTGAGGACATTTTTCCATTTTTTTATTCAGACAGAGTGGGAGGGAGGGAGAGAGAGAGAGAGAGAGAGAGAGAAACATCGACGTGAAAGGGACACATCGAGTGGCTGCCACCTGCACGACCCATCCAGTGCCGGGGACAAACTGCAACCGAGGCACATGCCCTTAGCGGAACCGAACCTGGGTCTCTCCGGACCATAGGCCAACGCTCTAACCACTGAGCAAAACCGGCCAGTGGTGAAAATGTTTTACTTTTATTCCAAATTTTATTGAATATTATTAAGAACGCTTTTGATAAATTACAGTTCTTTTCATTTGAATGCTTGGGCTTTGCTCTCTGGGTACTTAGGTGGCTGGGAAATGACTGCTCACCAAGAGAAACTGTTAAAACGAGCTGCTAAAAGTGGCCTCATCACCTTGTCAAATAGAATCTGGAAAAAATTTGATTTGAACCCTTTTCTAGTGAATGTGTTATTTGCAAATCTGTGAGAGTACATAAAGTCAAACAAGGAATCCTGTATTCTAATTTGGTGATACTTTATTCCCTTAAATTTTCCTCAATTGTGGGACTCAGAATATATTGGGGGAAAAAATAACACAGCTATATTGTATAAAAGGTAACCAGGACTCAGGCTCTCTATGTTAATTGAGTTGGAAAGGTGATTTCAGGATACTATTTCCTTGTCCCATAAATACTATGTATAATAAAAGTTCCACCATTAGCAATTTAAGTTACAATGATCCTGTTTAATTTTTAAAAACTAAACTTCTCAATTTTTAACATCCAGAGCAGTGCACAATTTCTAAATCTATAGCTCAGTTAGTTTTGCCCGATTTTGACGACTTTATATCAGTGGAACTGGACACCACACATTGTTTTGTGTCTGGCTTCTTTCTCTCCTTCCGTGTGTCGGCTCCATGGCATTGGGTGTGGTCGGTTCCTTTTCACTGTGCTGTGGTGCTGCATCGCGTGACTATACCACAGTGGATTCTTTATCGATAGCCATTTGGGTTGTAACCAGTTTTTCTCTTATAATTAGTATGGTTATGAACTTTCTTGTATGTATCTTGATGAAGTTCAGTACACATTTATGGTCCAATGTTGGATATGTAACAAGAGTAGAATTTCTGGGTCATAGGCTATGCACTTAGATTTCATCAGTTGTCCAACCAGCTTAACCAAATTACATTTCAGTCAACAGTGTATGGAGTTCTAGCTGCTCCATACCTTTGCCCTTATGGATATTTGGTATTCTCATGTTTTTTGTTTGTTTGTGTTTTGTTTTATTTTCACTTTAGCCAGTCTAGTAAGTAATTAGTATCTCATTTTGGTTTAAATGTGCAATTCCCTGATGACTAATTATTTTGATCATCTTCTCATAGGTTAGTGGCCATTTGGGTATTCTTTTTTGTGAGAAAATGATATTCCATTTTTTTAACCCTTAAAAATAGGAGTATCTGCCATTTTTCTGATTGAGTTATTCATATTCTGAATAGGTATTCTTTACTGATTACATGTTTTAGAATATCTTCTCCCAGTCTGTGGTTTACCTTTCAATTCTCTTAATAGGGTGTATTTGATGAACAGAATTTTTATGAAGTATAATTATCAATATTTTCCTTTATGGTTTTATCCTGCTGAATAAATCCGTGCCAGTCCCCAGGTCATGAATACGTTCTCCCATGTTACTTTTAAGACACACCTACTATTGGGAAGGGGGGTACTTTGCAAAGCTGGTACAGGGAGCCTTAAATTTCCAGTTCTTTTAAATGCATTGTTTTCAAGTTCCAGCAGATGGCAGTGTTGCAATATAAAAGGAGATACAAAAGATTTGATAGCGCTTTCAAGAGGGTAATTTTATTATTATTTTAAAAAATACATTTTTATTGATTTTAGAGAGAGAGACATTGATGTGAGAGAGAGAGAGAGAAAGAGAGAGAGAGAGAGAGAGAGAGAGAGAGAGAGAGAGACATTGATGTGAGAGAGAAACATCAATCAGTTGCTTCCTGAGCATGCACCCTGACCAGGGATGGAACCCACGACCCGGGCATGTGCCCTGACTGGGAACTGAACCAGCATCCTTTTGGTGCATGGGATGACACTCAACCAACTGGGCCATACCAGCCAGGGCTCAAGAGGGTTATTTTAAAAACACTTTCCCCTGACTTGCTTCTAGAGGATGAAAATTTATGTAGTGACATAAATTTCACTTCAAACATACACTTATATATGTGGGTTAGAATCCTAACATAGGGCATATTTGTTAAATACATTGGTTAGACTTTTCCCTAAAGAGAAGACTTTTCGAAGGCAGAGACGCCCTTTGGGAGTTGGAGTGGGCAGCAGAAGGAAATGATGGGGGGGTGGGGGAGAGCTCAGCGTTACCTGTCTCACAAGTTATTCACCTGCACGGACAGACTGGAGACATAATTATTTTAGGTCCCAGGTCTAGTTTTGGTAGGTTTAGTTTAGAAAGGGATAGTGTTTTATCCTGGGTCTCTCTGAAAAGAGAAAGAATATCCATAATTCTTCTCCAAGTTTGTATTTTTAAACTTGGATTCTGGAATCACACATTTAAGCCACAATGAGAGTATCAAAAATGATTGCAGGTCCTTTTGAATCATGTATAAATTTTTCCACCTTTCTGTAAAAGGAGAGAGTAGACCTAGGTAATCCCTAAATCTCTTGTAGCTTTTTTTCAACAAGCTTTTCCTACTTATAATGTGGATTTTTTACTTTTCATCCCTACGTATAACGTGGATTTTTTACTTTTCAGAGAAGTGGGAGATAGACCCGTCTGAGTTGGCTTTTGTAAAGAAGATTGGAAGTGGTCAGTTTGGTGTGGTCCATTTAGGCGAATGGCGAGCACATCTCCAGGTGGCCATCAAGGCCATTAACGAAGGCTCCATGTCTGAGGAGGATTTCATTGAAGAGGCTAAAGTGATGACGTAAGTATAAGCAATAACCAGATCGCTAGCTTACCACACCCTGATATCAAGGAAAGAATGGGGTTTTGGAGTCAATCACACCTGGATTTGTGACAACTCTGCCAAAGGTGGTTGTGTGACTCAGGCAAATTCTTGAGCCTCTCAGTGGCCTGGATGAGTTACTCCCTTTGTCTACCTAGTAGTACAAGGATTTGCTTTCAGAGGATTTAAGAATCCCGAGCTTTAACAGAAGAGCTCTTTGTAGCCCACTGGATGCTGCACTTACCTTCTGTGACTCCCAGACTAGCATTTGACTCTGTGACTGTGCTTCATGTCTGTTAACTGGCCTGGACCAGGACAGGCCATTCATTTGATGCAAATCAAATCAATTTCCTTTACGTATTTGTACAAATTGACTTAAAGGAACAACAATGTAGTAAAGAAGAAAAACCCAGATTACCTAGATACTGTTTTATTATCCAAAGCAATTTAGTTCTGCTCCAAACTTGCAGACTTCTATTGAAAAAAAACCAACAAATCAACCAAAAAAAATCAATTAACTGCACCCATTTTCCTTTGGAGACAGAGCAGAACTGTCTCTCAGGGCTCTAAAACGAAAACCCCAAGGGTCCTATTAAAATATTCTTTCCATCCTCTTAAAATAAAATGATTTTCAGGGAAAGTTATGATAAATACAATTTTCCAGTGACATCAGCTTCCCAAAGATGTTTTTATGCCCCTAGGCTGTCCTACTGGCCTTTGTTCCCGATACTAACTGCATCTGAACATGGTTTTCCTATTTTGAAGACAGAACATTTCTGTGCATTGGACTAAATCGGCGTAGTAAGAAGAGAATAAGTGGGAGACATGAGAGTCGGGGCACATTGAGTCCATATTGGAATTCCTAAATAACAAGACAGAATTAGAGCTGTCTAATGCCACGATGGGGGGCTTCTGAAAGGTTCAAGCCTTATTGGTCATTTGCAGCGAGGACTTCCAAGGACGATAGTCTGAGGGTGATGCATGGAGTGTGGGGAACAGAAATAGCTCTTGTTAGTTTACAGAGGGAGGAATGAGGAGGCTAGGGCTTATTTTCAAGTCAGTTCAGATGGACATACTGTTTTTCTTGCATTTGCACATAGTCAATTATTTCCTGATTTTTTTTTTTAAGTGAGGCAGGAAAAGCTCCTTTCTGACTTATAACTGTGGAATGCAAATACATTCATCTTTAGAAAATTAAATAACTGACATACATTGAGCTCTATATGGTAATATACAGATTACCTCCTTTTTGTTAGTGTGTGGTTTGAATGTCACCTCCTTCAGGAAGTCTTCCCTGACTACCCTGTTTAATTGGCATACCTATCCCTAAATGCTTTCTATTATATCACCTTGTGCTCGTTCCCTCAAAGCCGTTGTCACTACTCCAAAGCTTCATGTGGATTTGTTTTGTTTTCCTCCGACTAGAAAGTAAGATCCATAATAATAGGTCTTTATTGATCTCTCTTGTAAAAATTGGTGAGTGCCTAAAATGATAACTAGCATGTAGTTGTTCAAAAAATATTTGTGGATTGTTGAATGAGTTAATGAATCCTCACAGTTCTATGAGGTAATTTCTATTAAGATCCTGATTTTATAGATGAGAAAAAGGAAATTTTGTAACTTACCTAATTTGTCTACAGTCTCACAAAAAACCCCACAAATTTGTAGAGTTTCTAACTGAAATAGAACTATGAACTGTTTGGGCGTAAAACCCATGACCTTAAATTAACTCACATAATAATGAACAAACATTTATTGGGCAACTACTACAGGTCAGATCTCATAGCAGTTGTCATAACTGTTAACCAAAATTGTTGATGTCCTGTATAGCATTTCCAGTGCAGTAAATAACAACTTCAAATCTCTGCTGTGCTCTTAACCACTATATTTTGAGATGTAACCTAAATGGGGGAGGGGGGGCTGTACTCATGACATTTCCAGAGCATCTGCTAAAGATGATTTAGAAGAATGAAATAAAACCAGTCTTTTTTCCCGTAGACAAGTTAAGCCCATAAAAGCCTGTTGAATTTTTAAAAATTATCTATTTATTTTTACCTTGGTTTATACTTTTTATAATATATTCATATACATGATACCCTTTAGTGTCCACTGGAAGGAAGAAGGACAGGGTTTTTTTTTTTTTTTTATCCTCATTCGAGGACATTTTTCCATTTTTTGTACAGACAGAGTGGGAGGGGAGGGAGAGAGAGGAAGAGAGAGAGAGGGAAACATCGATGTGAAAGGGACACATCGAGTGGCTGCCACCCGCACGACCAACCAGGGCCGGGGACAAACTGCAACCGAAGTACATGCCCTTAGCGGGAACCGAACCCGGGTCTCTCCGGACCGCAGTTGGACGCTCTAACCGCTGAGCCAAACCGGCCAGGGCGAGAAGGACAGGTTTTATTATTCCCATTTCACATGTGAAAAAAATGAAGGTTTAGAAAGTTTAAACAGGTTGTGCCTGGTCATGCAGCCAATAGGAGGGAAACTTGAATTCAGCTCTTTGCATTAGGAGCATTACATTTTCTTTAAATCGTTTCCTCACTACATTGCCTTTAAGGGATTCTTTATTTTAGTTGTTGAACTATGGGATTTTGTCTCTGGGTGTAGCTTATTAGTGGCAATACATTATCTAGAGATATATGAACTAATTATATTTATAACCATAAAAATATATGTATAGTAATTTTAATTTCTTTAAGAAACTTTCACTTGTATATCATTTTATTCTTTATTTCTACATCATCATATCTTCATGCTAAAATAACTTAGATTTTAAAAGAAAAGTTTTAACAGTATAAGCTCACATTACACAAAAATGAATAAAGTAAAAAACTGAAAACACTCAATCTCCGCCTCCCTAAGTATTTTTCTCCAAGGATAATGAATATTGGCAATAAATGTTTTTAGTTAAACCCCTAGCCCTTTATACTTTAATATAATTTAATTGAAATAATTTTTAGCATTCAGTGTTCTTTTTTATATGCATCAATCACTCTTCCCTCCCTCCTGTCTGTCCAGAATTTTTGTCTGAGCAGTTATAGTCAGGAGGGTTGAAAATCAAGGACTAGAAAGTTTGCAAGATCTGGGCAAGGAGCAGCAGGAATGAGGAAGCAAAAAGCTTACAAAAATGGGAAGGAGGAAACAGAACGCGGGGCATGTTCTGTTCTGCATACAGCGACCGAGGCGGTCAGCTCCGCCCGGGCCCACTGTCTCGGTCGGTGGTGCAGCGGAGAGGAACCTGCGCTTTCTCGGTGGGTGGGTTCATTCTGATCCTATCTCGCTGCTGAAAATTGTATCGAGCTGGTAAATAATTCCCAGCGGAGCCCAAGCACTGCACCCTTCACAAGCGCGTCTGTTCCCCGTGGATGTGTCTCTTCGGCAGGAAACTGTCCCATTCCAGGCTGGTCCAGCTCTACGGGGTGTGCATTCAGCAGAAGCCGCTCTACATCGTGACGGAGTTCATGGAGAACGGCTGCCTGCTGGCCTACCTCCGGGACAGGAAGGGGACGCTCAGGAAGGACGTGCTGCTCAGCATGTGCCAGGACATATGTGAAGGGATGGAGTACCTGGAGAGAAACTGCTTCATTCACAGGGATTTAGTAAGTGTGGTACAACGTGATTATTTCGTGTGTTATATTCGGAAGGACATGGCAGTTTAGGACTTTTGATACTTTGAATAATGCATGTTGGCTTAATTTTAAAGAGTTTTTAAAGAATATTTTTTAATGAATATTTTGAGAGAGAGAGGAAGGGTGTGAGAGAGAGAAACATAGATGTGAGAGAGAAACATCAGTTGGCTGCCTCCTGCATGCCCCCCACTGGGGATTGAACCTACAACTCAGGTATGTGCCCTGACTAGGAATCGAACTGGGACCTCTCAGTCCATGGGACAATGCTCAATCCACTGAACTACACTGTCTGGGCATATGTTGGCTTAATTTTAAAACATTTTCTTCTTCATCTAATTTGTTCGAAGGTGTAACTTTATATTTAATTTCCCATTGATGCTGTAGCCACCTGAGGGGCTACCTTAAATATGCCTGAAACTAATCAGCCACCACACTAATTAATAAAAACTAATTCACTTTTCTTTTCTCTCTCCCTCTCTCTTTTCTTTCTTCTATTTTTCCTCCTTCCTTCTCTTTCTCCTCCCTCCCTCCCTCCCTCCCTCCCTCCCTCCCTCCCTCCCTCCCTCCCTCCCTCCCTCCTTTCATCAATAATCAAATATGCACTGAGTGCCTAAATGCCAAGCACTCTGCCAGGCACTGGAAATACAATAGTTAAGAATAAGCTCCAGTGGTTCTCACGTAAGGGTGAAACCACGCCATGTGGAGGTGATTTGGGTCTAACAGCATTGCCTCAGCATCATGGGCATTAAGGAGGAGGACTAGAAATACTAAATCATTCTGTTATGTAATGGTCAGAACAGTCCTACCAAACAAAAGTTGAGTCTTATCTTGCCCCAAACGCTAATAGCTCTGCTTTCTTCTCTTGAAAAAAATTTTCTATCTACTCCATATTTATTCATAATATTAACACTATTCCTTGTATGCCCTTCCATGTCTAGCTTAGTCCAAAAACTAACTCTGATGAGAATTCCGTTAGAAATCCCTGGTACTGTCACTTACAGGTAATCCCGTACTTCCATCCCTCATGACCAGCATGACCACATTAGTCATCCAGGCTGAAATATTTTGGAGAAAGGAGACATTGGCTCCAGCACACCATTGCTTGTCCTACACATGACTTAGAACTCATGGCATTTATTATTTCTATTTCCTAATTGTTATGTAAATGCTAGACTATACACTCCTTGAGGTCAAGGCCTAGGAGCTTTGAAAACATCACCATACCCAAATCATACCCTTGACCAATTCAACCAGGATCTCTGGAAGTAGAATCCAGCCATATATATATTTTTTAGAGAGAGAGGAAGGGAGAGAGAGATAGAAACATCAACGTGAGAGAGTAACATCGATCAGCTGCCTCCTGCACGCCCCATACCAGGGACCGAGCCTGAAACCCGGGCATGCGCTGGGAATCAAACCAGGACCTCTCAGTCCATGGGATGATGCTCAATCCAGTGAGCCACACCAGCCAGGCCAATCAGTATTTTTTTGAAAAATTTCCTGGAGAGTCTACTGTGCAGTCAAGATTGAGAACCACGGCTCTAGAGCTGGACTGCCTGGGTTGAAATCTTGCCTCTGTTTCTTACTAGCTAAGAAAGCTAGTTAACTAGTAAAGTGGTATTAATTATAGCACCTCCTTCATATGGGCTTGTTGGGAGGATTATATGAATTAATATGTGTAAGCACTTAACACAGGGCCTGGCACAGAGAAGACTCAGCAATGCTAACTGTTGCTATTACACAGCAGGGCCACTGTTTTGCATCCCTTGTGGCATATTCCCCAGTGTCTAGCCGAAAGAGCTATTGCACTTTTGCGTGGATGGATATGACATCAATTTCACCTATGTCACTTTCCTAGTCTCTGCAGATCTGTCTTTCCTGTTAAGGGTGAGAATTCAAAACTCAGGTGACAGTTCTGGTCATTCGATTTGCTCCTGGTGGCTTTTTGCAGACGCTCCTGTCTTCCTTGGTTTCTTCCTTCATTGTTTCCTTTTGTGTTCTATTTTACCCACCTACATACCACTTAAAATCTACCGGCTAACAAGGAGCCTTTCCCTGTCAAAGGCCTGCCTGTGTTCTGGCTTCGAGATCATTGCCAACCCTTGTCAACATCTTCCCAGCTGACTCCCTCTGACTTACCATTTCAAGATTCTTGCTTTTGTTTGTGTACTAACTACACCACAATTAGCTGAAGAGAGAAGAATTTCATCAAATCATTGATCTATAATGAGGCTAACTAACCTAAACAATAATTTTCATGATTAGGTTGACTGAAAATGGATTGTTTGGCATCAGATAGATCATTTCTGCGTTATATAGTACTAGATTTAGTTCATTTTGGTAATTTTAAGAAACATGAAAGTATCATTATAAATAGTTATATTAAATGAGATGTAAGTCTTAAAAGACAATTTCTTAATTTTTATTAGCAACTATTGGTCTCAAAGATATGTAGTGACCATTCCTTATTTGTCATGTATATTGGGTCTTCTTTTCATTTAAGATAAATTTTAAAAAATACACACTATTTATGTCAAGATTTATAGTTTATCATCTCTTAAATCCTCATTGAGTTTATCTTCATATTTATTGAGGATACATTTTTAGAAGTATTAAAAGTTTTAAAGAAGAAAAGTGTTATAATTTCTTTTCATGTATTGTTCTTTCTTTGAAGAATCATTAAAATCCACCTTGTGAGGGCAGATATATTGAATCATGCACATCACTGACAGGTGTCACCATAAAAATAACAGGTTGCCCACACAGAGAAGTAGTGCGGGGGCCCAAGTAAATTAAGGAAAAGGAGAGTAGAAACTCAAAAGAAAAACTCATGTTCAAACTCGGGTTCTTTTCTTCTTTTATAGGCGGCAAGGAATTGTTTGGTCAGTTCTACAAGCATAGTAAAAATCTCGGACTTTGGAATGACGAGGTACGTGATATACTTTTCTGTTGTTTACTCTTAAGAGAGAATCTTGCATTTGTCTGCTGGCAAACTGAAAGATGTTATTTGCAGTTTTTCTCTGTTAATGTGGTTGTATGGCCTGCTGACCCACTCTGAATTTTAAGACATGCACCAATTTTAGCTGTGAAGTAAATGGATACTGTGGCTATTCTGATCTTTCATATTATTGTTAATAAAACAATGGCATATCTTTTTTTAAAATTATTTTTGTTATAGATGTTTCTCCTTTTTTTCCCCATTGACACCCTCCTCCCCGTCCCCTCCACCCCATACCTGGTTCTGTTGTCTGTGTCCATTGGTTATGCGTACATGCATATAAGCTCTGTGGTTTATCTCTTCCCTCCCCCAAACACCCCTCTTCTGAGGGTTGTCAGTCTGTACCCTACCTCCACGTCTCTGGGTCTACCCTGTTCCTCAGACTATTATGTTCATTATATTCCACAAATAAGTGAGATCATGTGATATTTGTCTTTCTCTGCTTGGCTTGTTTCGCTTAGGATAATACTCTCCAGGTCCCTCCATGTTGTCTCAAAGGATAAGGGATCTTTCTTTCTTACAGCTGCATAGTACTCCATTGTGTATATGTACCACAGCTTTTTAATCCATTCCTCTACTGATGGACACTTGGGCTATTTCCAGATCTTAGCTATTGTAAATAGTGCTGCTGTGAACATGGGGGTACATATATTCTTTCTGATTGGTGTTTCATGGTGGCATATCTTAAAACTAAAAGTAGTTTCTCAGTCTACTCATTATATGTGTAAGATTAAGAAAAAAAGTTTTTCTGATACATATCTACAGCTATATCTCTCTCTCTATATTTCTGAAAGAAAAAAGAATAAATTTGTTTGCTCAGCTCTGATTTTTCTATGTCATCATCATACATTTCTATTATCAGGTGTAGTAGTTGACTTTAAGTCTACAACTCAAGAGTGTAAACAATCTAACCTTATTACTTTAGCTCCTTGCAGTTTGTGTTTTGAGCCCCTTTCCTTCAGGTTGCTAGAAGTGTAATCCCAGTCAATGTCAGGTTTCTCCTCGACTCTCCTCAGGGCCAGAATCTTGGTTCTGTGTCTTTCTTGGGGCCGTAGTACTGGTAGGGAGATGGCCCATCTGCTTCTTGTCATTGTCTGTTGTCCAATGGCACTGGCTTCCTGGCAGTCACCACCTTCTCGTTCTGTGCTTGGCTGGCCGTCCACACAGGTGGCCACTGGCTCATCCCGAGTTTCTTTCTGCAAGAGTCCTTCACATCCGGCATTCCTGTGACTGCAAAACTCCTCCATGTTATCTGAGACCCCATTTTCCTGGGCACAGCCCCAGATTTTTTTCCTCTGCAATCTTTCTGCCTTCCTGGGGCTCGACCTGGGAAAGAAGGCACGAGCTCTGTTTTGCTCTGGAATCCCACTAACCTGTGGTGGGGAAGTGGGGTCTTCTTTCTCCGCTGTGTGACGGGGCAGCTCATGTACGGTGCAGGGTCAGGACCCCCCCCTCAGCTACCCACTAATGTCTGATCCTCCTTCCCTTCCCCTTCTCTTATCCTTGTTCCCAGCTGAAGGGACCTTTTCCTAGAGGAGCAGGTGGTGGTGGTGGGGGAGGTCTCACTCCTATTCAGGAGCCTTCTCCCATATATTTTGTTAATAATTCCATCCTTTTCCTTTTCTGGAAAGCCTAGACTCTTGAAACTCAAGAGCTATAAACAATGGTTCTTTCTCTTTTGTTTTCTGTGATTCATTCTTTCTCCTTGGTAGAATGACCTCTGGCTCAATAAAGAGCTTAAAGATGAGGTGAGGTAAGAAATGTGAATAAAAAAATGGAATGTGGAGAAGCATTAATAAATAAGTGTAAAAATAGGTCTCACAGATATGTAATGTGATGTAAAGATACTACATATTCACAGGACTACATAGCATAAGTTAGCTATCATCTCTTCTCTCCAGATGCCCATACTTGGATATTCCTGCAAACTATTCTCAAAAAAGAGAGAGGGTTTACTTTCTTTATTTTTTTAAAGGAGGTGGTAGCTACTACTGATTTCTTTCATATATGGTCATTTTAATGCACCTCAAATACATTAGGTTCAAATATTTTTATTTCTTCCTTCTCTGTCCCACAAGAAACATGCAGAAAGAAAATAAGGCATTCAGCTTTAAATTTCTTTTTTTCATTATATATTTATTTTTTATTTCCTTTTTATAACCTTGGTTGTTAGACCATTCAGCATGCTTCTTTGCAGATTTTATTGTAATTGGCTAATCAGTAGGGTCTGTTTGGGACTGAAGAATTGCTATGGGGTTCTGAGACCCAAGTAAAATAAACAAAGACTTGGTTTGGGAAAGAAACACAATAAGGGATCCTTTCCCACTTGGAAAACAAAAGGGAAGATATACAGAACCTTCCTGGGGTAAAGCACTTTGTCTTCTAGAACTGAGTTAACTGAAGGGATTTGAAGTAAACACAACTTGGAGGTAATAAAACGCAATGTGCTTTGACATCTGATGACCCTAGGTACGTCTTGGATGATGAGTACATCAGTTCTTCCGGAGCCAAGTTCCCAGTCAAGTGGTCCCCTCCTGAAGTTTTCCATTTCAATAAATACAGCAGCAAATCTGACGTCTGGTCTTTTGGTGAGTGAACCTGATGTTCTTTTCACGGAACTTGATATCATAACATAGGCCGATCTCTTTAAATGTGGATTTCTTAATATGATGCAGCATTTTTAAAAAAGTCTTCTTATAATTGTGCTTTCTGTGTTAAGTGTTTTGAACACAGCCAGGCTCTTTGGCAACTGGTGTCCATCACCTTGCACAAGCCTGACTTTTGGATCTTTTCCTTCCCATTGAGCACTGGCTATTAAATCATAACAGGGCATAGAGTCTACTGATGTAGAAAAACTCAGCCAACATGTCCGCACCATAGAGACTTGCAAGAAAAATGGATTTTACGGGCTCATTGAATTTTGAGTGTCATTAGTAAACTTCATTGTCTAACTAATAAGCAACATCACCTAATTTACTCCATTACCTTCAAATTTTGTGGAATTTAGACATAGGCCTCCTTGGGATCTTTCTGTTGATATTTATATCAGGTAATGTTCTTCACTAAGAAAGAGACACTGTAGACCCATGTCCAGTGGAGTTTGTTCTTTTCATTGATTTTCAAAGAGTGGCAACAAATGTGTGATTATCTATTCTCTGTCACCTAGACTTTCCTGAATGGCTTCTTCGGTTTGGAGGGACAGCTGTACCCTGAGAAGGGTGTGAATTTTATTGTCACAATTAGGTTGAACTTGTATCACTGATCTCATTAGCCCTCCGCTGACATGCGGTAGTCTTGGCAGGTGACATTTTTTTTTTTTTTTTTTTATCCTCACCCGAGGACATTTTTCCATTTTTTGTTTGGGTAGAGTGGGAGGGAGAGAGAGGAACAGAGAGAGAAACACATCGAGTGGCTGCCACCCACACAACCGACCAGGGCCGGGGACAAACTGCAACCGAAGTACGCGCCCTTAGCGGGAACCGAACCCGGGTCTCTCAGGACCGCAGGCCGATGCTCTAACCGCTGAACCAAACCGGCCAGGGCGGCAGGTGACATTTTAAGCTCCACTGGAAAGCAGCTAAGTTTCGAAACCAATAGATAGCAACCCAAGGGCTTCACCAAGTGGTTGCAGGACAATTGGAACTCCTTGAGTTTTACCTGACCATTTGTCTCCACCCCCACCCACCCCCACCCACCCTTGGTCAGTGAGGCTCTTGAGCACATGTACTGGTCTCATTCTTAAGAATCATCGGGTTCCAGCATAGGCCTGGCCTCTACTCAACACCTTATACAAATTTGTAGAATAAGTGAATAATTAAATGAACTCAAATTGAGAGCCTTGAAAAAGTTTCATGAATCAATCAATTAATCAGTCAGTGATTACTGACCACCTACTTATATACAGAGCCCCCGCTAGGTGTTCAGATACTCAACCCAGCAGTCGGACTCCCAGTGGGGGAGGGGGGTGCGTGCTGTCTGCTGGCTGGACGTCCTTGGTCTTAGCAGGCAGCAGAGCCTCAGAGCACTCTGTCGTTTTCTGTGGAATGGCAAGAAGGTTTCTTGATTTCAGGGAGTGGGGACATGAGAATACTTAGAAATGAAAATGCTGACAGAGTTTTCTTCCAATAGGGAGACAGACAGGCCAAAGGAACATGTTTTCAACTGGAACATGTTCAGAGTCCAGGCCTGTTCGCAGACTAAGATGCACACAATCTGCTTCCCAGATGGAGCTGCCCTCCTGGGTGACGATCACACGGAGACTGGGAGAGGAAGAGATGGGACAGGTCTTTCAGTTCCGCATAACCATTTCTCTCTAACCTCTGGCTTTTGTGCATTATATTCGCAGGAGTTTTGATGTGGGAAGTTTTTACAGAAGGGAAAATGCCTTTTGAAAATAAGTCAAATTTGCAAGTTGTGGAAGCCATTTCTAAAGGTTTCAGGCTGTACCGCCCTTACCTGGCACCGATATCCATCTATGAAGTCATGTACCGCTGCTGGCACGAGGTGAGTGTCCCTTACTGACTTTCCCATGGAGGCTGGCAGCCAGCATCTGGGAGCAGGCCTGTGTATCAGGACCCTCGCCTTAGGACCCATCCCGGCAGGAAGAGGTGTCTGTTTCTCAGTAATGATCCCCAAGAGCCACAGCACTGTTTCTGTCTGAAACTCCGGTCATTATCCAGTTCGTTTCTAACAGTGGCCTTTCCTCTGGGGAATGCAAGGTATTTTCCAAGTTTCATTTTTCTGAGCTTGGTTCCTGCGACACTCTTGTTAGCAAAGTCTCTGTGATTACATGGTTTACACCGTTTAGGGACTGGTGGGTGGACACCAAGGGTGGAATCGGGTTTGTTAAACTTCCACATTGGAAGAGAAGGATGGTGTTTATATTTGCTTCACCCTACTTTAATTTGTCTTGCTTTTCCAAGGCTAAAAGTCATGGGTTTCAACTCTCTCGTGTCATTCAAGACTCCTGATAGAGAGATTAAATCAGAACAGAAATGAAGGCAGAAAGGGTGGCAGGAACTTAGAAAACTATCTTTTGAGAGCCCAGTTACTCTTTTTCTTGAAATGCCAAGCTTAAAAATAAAGCTAGAGGGGCTTATGTCTCACTGTTGTCTCTTCTGGGCATTAGTTCAACGCACCCCTCCCTTCACAGTAGAATCCCCTCTGATTTTGACAGCTCCTCTCTTTCCAGCTGACAGTTTCAGCCCAGAAAAACCACAGCTGGGTGAGGAGCTTCCCCCTGGCTGAAAACGAAATCACCTGATTCCCAATCCACAAAGCTCTGGAAAATTCAATATTTCAAGGGTGATGTGGTTGTTCATTTCCCAGAGAAGTATTAACTTTATAAAGCTACCTGGTGTATGCAAATATTTTACATATGACTAACTGCTCTGCAAGGAATCTCGAAAGCTATTAGTAGTGAACAGCTGTCCTAAGAGCATCTTTGCATTGGCATTGTGAACAGTTCAGGCATATATATTGTGTATGAAACAATATACATATACATGGACATACAATAAGATTCTTATTGAGATTTTGTATTTGTGGAGAGGAGACAGAGAAGGAGCGGACCAAGTCAATGCCATCAGTCTCAAGTTACAGTCAGAAAAGGTTAAAGCAGTGCTCTTCTTATGCTGATTTACTTGTTTGCAAAAGTTGATTTGCCTACAACTTTTTGATGTAATCTAAGAGCCCCTGGGGCTTAGGCACCTCTTGATTCAACATGATTATAATCGCTTTGATACGCATGTTTCATAGTCTATTAATTGCAGAACTTCAGTCCCTGCAGAAGCTCCACAGTGTATTTGGAGTCTCAAGGAGGATTCTCACATGTGCTCACACATTCTGTTTTTTTATTGTTCATAAACCACTAAGGGTGGTGTCTTCCCACTCACCCCGCCGCCTACGGCCGTTGTGGGAATGTAGCTGCACGAGGAGTTCTATTGGCCAACGGGGTCATCTCCTCTTCCTCATGGAGCCAAAGCTATTGTGAACCAGGGAAAGGCTCCAGCCCTTGGCCCGGGGCCGGGGCCTTTGCTGACTGAACCTTAAGTCAGCACAGCTTGTGCTCCGGAACCTGCAAAGTCCCTTGAGAAGACATGGCTTTTGCTTTCGGACTGGAGTTCTTCTTTCTCTAGGGGATCAGGTGTAGTAAATAACTGGGACCGCGTGGGAGCCTGGTCCTGAGATGCCCCCTCCCTCCCAGCTCTTTCTTCACCCCGTGCGCATCGAGTCATCCAATCAGAGCCCGGGCAGTGCTGGCCAACAGCTCCTTCCAATGTGCCAGCCGCACCTGGCACTGCAGACTTGAAAAGTGTGACTGAAAACTGAATTTTATAATGTGCTTAATTTTAATTGATTGAAATGTAAACAGCCACATGTGGCTAGTGTTGGCAGCTCTAGCCATTTGGTCTTGGCAAAGCTCTCCACGCTTACGTTTTCACATGCATACCCCATGCCCCAGCCAAGCATGCCCCGTGCGACAGCCAGGCCAGCTTTCTCTTCCACTTGTGCAGAAGCAGCCTGGATCCAGGGCCCGGCTGGCAAGTTCTAGAACTGGTGTCTGAGAGAGTGTAAGCTGAGCTGACCGCCTCTGCTCTTCTTTTCCAGAAACCGAAATGCCGCCCTACGTTCGCTGAGCTGCTGCGGGTTCTCACAGAGATTGCAGAAACTTGGTGACTTGAGTGGAACGCCAACCCAGAGGATCACGTCGCACGATTGTCCCAAATGAAAACCCTGTGTGGGTCACTGATGCCGAGTATCTTCCTTCAGAGTTGCGGGCTCTTGGATGCATTCCCAACATCAGAGGCTTTTCAAACTTGTCCTACAATTGAAGAACATTCTGACAATATTTTTCCTACATGTCTGAGAAGGACTTCTTAGCTCTTATTTTTCTGTAACATTCTTCATGTCCCATATGGGAAGATGGGAGAAATGCTCAATAGTATTTAGAAGAATGGCCCTGAGAACCCCCGAGGGCTGAGGAAATTGACTTCTGGAAGAGGAGTGACATTCTGTACTCAGGCGTCCACGCGCGAATACACTGCCGGCTCGTGACTGGAGGAGCCTCACCTGCAGGACTCACACTGCCGAGCTGCACAGCTCCCATGGGAAAGGCCCTGCACAAGCCACAGAGGTGTGAGCATTGTGTAGTCCTCCCTGTGTTATTTAACAAGTATTTTTGCACATATCTGATACTTTTGGAGACAGTTTCTTGTATTCCAGTTTTAAACACTGTTGCAGAAGATAACCCAAGTCCTACTCTGAACAGGTCCTGGGGACATTTCCATTTCTAGTAATGCCCATTGGCAGGGGCAGTTCAGAGCCTGAATTTCAATTCTAAGATTTCACGCTCTGTCCATGTGAAATTGCACAAGTTAAGAAGATGACTTATTTTGTCAGAAAAAGTACCTCCTGCACCTTTCCAGAAGATGACTTGGTCTTTCTGCAAGAACAAGAGGGAGCAAAAACAAGATAACCAAATGTGACTTTAGCTCCTGTTCGGAAGGCCAGGGTTTTGAATGCAAGATGAAGTAACCAGTCATCATAATACACCTTAATTTCCCATTCACCGCTCGTAGGAACGATTGGACATTGATCGTTTCTATTCTGAGTGCTCCAGAAGGACCCTGGGAAGAAGGGTGTGATACAAAGCACAAAGACCTCACCCTGAGGTCTAACAGCAGGAGTCTATTTTTCTTATATTATCCTGTCCTACATTATGGTTCGAAGGGAATTTGTTTTATAATTCTCTTTAGATTCTAAGTTGCTGACTGTCACTGGTTGTGATTTTTACATCATATTTGCCCCTCTAAGAATGATACCTTTGAGTATCAGTAGCACTTAATAAATGTGCATTGAAATGAGCATCAGGGCACAAGAAGAGCCTTGACAATTCAAGCGGTGACCTCAGAAAGGTTTGTCTGAGATACTGTGCTGTTTCTGAGATTATCACACCCTGTTTTCTATGGCCCCTGCCATGGAAGGGAAGACAGAGGGCTCCTGCTACTGAGACCACAGTTCCAGTAAAATAAAGTGAAAGTCTAGCTCAAGAGGGCATGAGACTATTAAGCAGCAAAAGCCAAGAAGGGAAGGTTAATGTTATAACCAGAAATAAAGTAGTACCAATCTATACAGTAGGGTGTCTTTCTCAGGGTTTACTAGGCTTAGTAGTCTCCACTCTCACCCTCAAAGGAAGAAACAACAACAAACAACAAACCCAGACACTGAGATGCTGGGACTCACTATAGAGCACCTGTCATCACTATGGACACAGGGAGACTGAGCACAGAGCAGAGTGGCATGAGAGATAAGTTATTCCTGGAGGTCACATGGCAACAGCTGGGACTCCTAAGAGCATGTGGTGGTGGTGGGCACGTTCTATTCCCTCTGTTTTAACACTTCAGGGACGTTTGAGACACCAGATTCGGAACAGGAATCACGTGGGTGACTCAGGCTCAGGGACTGTGTGGATTTGGAACGTCGATGGACAGAGTCAGCATTCCCTGTCTGGCAAAAGGAAAATTTTCCTTAAAAAGTAGTCACACAACTCCTTCTGGAACGGAATTATATTTTGCAATCAATCTTTGTGTTAGTTATTGATATGCACTCTGTGTGGGTAGCCTAACTAGTCGAGGGTGATATAGTACAGCAGTTAAACAGTTCTGCATAAGAAGTGGACAGGAGGGCCCTGGCTGGTTTGGCTCAGCTGTTAGAGCATCGGCCTGCGGTCCAGGGAGACCCGGGTTCGGTTCCTGCTAAGGGCATGTACCTTGGTTGCGGTTTGTCCCTGGCCCTGGTTGGGTCGTGTGGGTGGCAACCACTCGATGTGTCCCTTTCACGTCGATGTTTCTCTCTCTCTCTCTCTCTCTCTCTCTCTCTCTCTCTTTCTCTCTCTCTCTCATCCTCTCTCTCCCTCCCACTCTATCCAAATAAAAACAAAAAATGTCCTTGGGTGAGGATTTAAAAAAAAAGAAAGAAAGAAAGAAAGAAATGGACAGGAGGTTTAGAGGTTGGTTGCAGGCAAGAGCCTTAAAAAGGAGAAGCCAGGAAGTCAAAGAAGAGAGGGAAGCTCAGAAAAACAGAATGAATTTGGAGACCAAACAGAAGATATGATCAGTGTACATTGCTGTTTGGCAAGAATAGCTAAAGGAAACTTTTTCTTTAGTAAACTTTGAATTGAAGTACCAGATATGGTCCCACTAGTGCATTGGTGACATGTTCGAGTGGCAGTCTAACTCACAAGACACAGTAGCATTTAATCCAGCAGTGAGTTTACTTAGCTTTGTAGAAGGACTCAAGACAGGACAAAGAGTGTGCACAGCCCTTCAGCTCCAGTGGACGCCTGCCAGTTCTCCACGTGCATGGGTGCTTGGGTCCCTCCTCCTCCGCCTAGAGAGAGTGTGCGATCGCTGGTAATGAGACCGCGGTGTGTGGTGCTCATCTTGATACAAACAAGCTTATCCCTCGGTTTCCCACCTGTCACGTGGGCCTACGCGTCACAGGATTCCCAACCCATGTGCTGTCTCACAGGCCAGAGGTTTCACAGTGCACAAAACACAGCTCTGGCCCCGGTACCCAACATCTCAGATTTAGCTTAACTTGGGACTTATCCAAGGGTGCTGGGCCAAGGCAAACCTACAGTGCTCTCAGACAGGTAGGTCTAGGTCAGGGAGAAGCACAGTACGGGCTGCTGTTGATCCTTTGCTCATGTACATAAAGTACACAAATCATGTGTATATAGCTTAATTTCACAAAGTGAATACATTTGTGTAACTAGCACTAGGTCAAGAAAAGGTACATTCCAGAAATTCAAAATACATTCTCATTCCCTATTCAAGCCATTAACCTGATAGCAATCAATATCCTGATTTCTAACACGAACTTTCTGTAAATGGAACCCTATGGTATTGTATTTTTTGTTTCTGGCTTCTTTCCCTTAATTTGTTTGTTTGATCCATCCATGTTGTATGTAGTTAGTTGTATTCCATTCATTCTCATCTCTGTATAGTTTCCCACTATATAATTATACTACAGATTATTTATCTATTCCGCTCTTGATGGATATTTGGGTTATTTCCGATTTTTGACTATAGATCAATGCTGCTATCAACATTTTCCTACATGTCTTTTGGTGAAAATATGTATGTATTTCTGTTAGGTATATCTAGGAGTGGAATTTCCGGGCCAAAAATTATATGTATGTTTAGCTTTTGTAAATAGTGCCAAACAGTGTTCCTACGTGGATGTAACCAGATTCACAACCAGCAGCGGTGGATGAGCATCCCAGCTACTCCACATCCTCAATAACACTTGGAATGGTCTTGGCTGTTACAGTGGCCAAAGGACTTTTATTGGCTAAAATGTGTCATATTCAATTTTAAGTTGTTTGTTTGAGCTGTGCTGCAATATAAGCTCTATGCCCAATCTTTGTTGTCAACATAGCAGTATGCTATATGAACAAAATGAAATAAATAATATTCGAGAGGATCAAAGTAATTTGGGGTGATACAAATATTAGAGATGTAATACAGAGCAGAGAAGGGGGCTTTGAACTTGGATCTGGAGAAATTATGAACGATGTGGGTGTCCCATCTATGTGAGATGGATGTGCACGCACACACACACCCACCCCCCCCCACACACAGCCATTTGTATCTTTAATTTCTTTCCAAGGAGTGGGTGTCCTGTTAAATGGAAGACCCAATTTGATGAGAAATTTGATAGGTTTGTCTAAACACGTCCAGGGGTTGGCATTGGACTTAGATGCATTGCTTGACCTATAGATAAACCGGAGAAGGGTGTGGAGAGCAGAGGGCAGACAAAACAGCAGGAGGAAGTACTGAAGGCAGTACAAGGCTCGAAGGAGCAGGAGTGTCTGTTATCTTATGTCATCTATGAGGTCACTAATGCATCCCCATTACCCCCAGCTATTCAGTGAAGTCAACTGGGCCCATGAATCTATGTTTGAGTGGATTTTACTGTGTGTGTAGGAAGTGTATAGTGTGTACTTTACATCTGGTTTACATAATGCAGGGCAGAGACCATAAAAAACATACAGAAGCTTTGGAGGCAGAAGACGCTGTAAACACATAAAGCCCCCTGAGTCTGTCTAAATCTTGGAGAAAGATTTGCTTATGTGTCATTTGGGCAATCGCTACACTGAGGATGGGGTGGAGGTAGTTCCAGCCAATGTAAGTTGATTCTGAGGATAGAAAGAACCTCGGCTAACATCTGGATTGCAGATACTTAACTTCCCAGCAACTTAAAGAATCAAGTTCTGTTTGGGTGATTAGTGGAAAAACCTAAACATAAATGAGATGTGGAAGAGACTGTATAACAGAAGAGCATTAGCCAATGATACAGTAAAACAAGAAACTCATAGATCAGGACCAGCCAGGGTGAAGTCATTTCCCTGAGCCACACCATTTCAAAAATCTCCGTACTGACTCTAGTTTATCCAAATGCATGTGTTCTTCCTCTAGTTCACGGTTTCTCAATTTCCACACTATTGACATTCTGGGTTGAATAATTATTTGTTGTAGAAAGATGTGCTGTGCATTGTAGGATATTTAGTAGCGCACTCCATCCCCACAGTGGTGACAACCAAAAATGAACTTTGCCAAATGTCCCTCTTGGGCAAAATCACCCTTGGTTGAAAACCACTGATCTAGTTACAAAAAGTTTTGGACCTGAGATTAAAGAGATTCATGAACCTGAATTGGGAAAAAAAAAAAAAAAAAAATCACATCTTTATTTTTTACTAACTTCTAATGAAAAATTTGCATTTCCTGCGATTCTGAATGTAGTCAAATACAAAAACAAACTGCTGTATTAGCAGTTTCTGTGACTTTGTCACACTGTGAAAGATTGTTATTTTCATCGGCTCTGAGGGTTGTTTCAGCTTTCCCGAGAGAGAATTTGCATTTTTCATCATTTCCAAGTCATGTCTCTTTAAAAACTGCCACTTTAACTCAATAAAAAGACATACGATCGAGGCACAGTTATTAAGGTAAAATATTATGGTAACTTCCTTTTGGTATAATTGATTACCTTGTTAGTTCTATTTTTGATTTATGCATTTAAAAACATTATTTCAAGAAGGGGTATTAAGGCTTCACTAGACTTCCAAAGTGATCTGTAGTACAAAAAAATTAAGAACCCCCATATCAAACAGTTTCTGAATCTGGAAAGGGCTCTGCTGGGCCACACACACCCTTCAGCAGCTCATCATCCTTAAGGAAAACCCCAGAAGGATTTAACTGGCCAGCCGAGTGGGCTGTTCCAGGGTGCACATCCGTCCAGGCCCTTTGCGTGCTCAGAGCCACCTCCCTCCGCACGCTCCATCCATTGTCAAGGCTGGTCCTCGGATCTGCTTTGCATGTCCTCTTCTTCACCTGCCTGTCCCCTGTGAGACCCAGGGTGTGATGAGTAGAGGCTCAACTAGCCCCATGTTTAGCACAGAGAGAAAGGCTGGATACCAGCCAGTCCCTCCAGCCTGCCTGGAGTCCGACTCCAAGTGAGCACTTTGGCCTCTCTTTTCCCCAGAGCTCCCACACCCGGCTAGTTGGAGGGAGAGAAAATGGATGAATCAAATCTCACTGGAGGCCAGGGTGACTCCATTCCCTTTCCAAAACAAGGTGGCAAAAAACCCCAATTCCAACTGGCGTTTTGACTGTCGTCACTGGTGGGGGTGCTACTGGCATCTAGTAGGTACAGACCAGTAATGCTGCTAAACGTCCTACAATGCACAGCACATCTCCCACAACCTGAATTAATTATCCAGCCTAAAGTGTCAGCAGTGCCGAGCTTGAACAGGGTACTATTGACCATATGACTGTGAGGTCCAGGGGTGCATAAATTCAGCACGTTATCATAATTCCAGCTCCATTTCTTGGTCCTCAGGCTACCTCGGCTTTCTCCCCTCTCTGCTCCCGAATGAAAAGTGGCTACTGTAGCCCATACCTCACCCTGATGCACCAGACCTCACCTTGACACTCCGTATACCATCCAAAGGGAGAGCACATCTTCGGCCAGCCCTCCGCCAGTTCCACATTATCTCACTGGATCGGATCCACATGCCTCCTTAACAAATCCCTGCAGTGCGGGGTGTGGACTGGTTTGGCCTTGGTCACACGTTCCCGCTAGGGCCAGGGACGGAATCCACTCACCTGCAACCACCTGCAGGAGAAATTGAGAGCGCTGGGGAGGGCGGGGAAGGGGTGAGTGAGAGATGCTAAATAGAACCAAATGTCCACTGCTCTTCGCTTTCCAGTGACTCTGCTGCTTTTCACCATTCTCTCTAGTGAGCAATTGGAACTATTCAACTATGACCCATATTTCTTTAATGCAGATTAGCTCACTAGCTTATGATTGGCGAATTGGGGGGATTTTGTCATCTTAAGTGCACGTTTGGCAGAGTCTGATTCCGTTTCCCCCAGCGCTTGAATGCTTTGAAGGGATCTGGGGTGGCCTTCTCACAACTAAAGAGAGAGCCTTGACAATGCATGAGGATCTTAAGAAAAAGCTGACAATCCTGTCTTCCTTCAGTACAAGTAGTGGTGGGTTTGGTGGCTTTTATGTTTCGCTTTCTGGGAAGGCTCAAAGTGCGGGTGACTTACTGCTTGGACGGGAGCACGTGCCCTGCTCCCTTCTGTCCCCGGTACCTGTCCACTCACTGACCGTATCTCTCGCTCCCCTCCCGTCTGCCCAGGCGGCCCCTTGC